ATACCTTCAGGAATATTTGTATCTATATTTGCAGGTATTACTTTTGGGGTAAAATTTTCTTCAAAGTCAGTTTGAGATTTTGTTTCGTCAGGAATTGTTTCTGGGAACTTTTCTTCCACTTTCCCTTCCGCTGAAACTGTACCGTCTCTCGTTTGGGGATAAACAACTTCTGTCGCTGTCGGTTGATCAGTTACTGGTCTTTGATTATTATTTGGCTGACCAAAATCAGGATATGAAACGGGTTGAAATGCCGAATACACCGGCACTGAGTACATGTAGCAACCATAGTTGGCATAGCCTAATTGTACAGGTTTGGTTGTGGTGGCACTTGGACTCGGGTTGGGAATTGATGATGGTGATATCTTCGGTGACTGGGATATTGATTTGGGTGGTACAAAGGTTGGTTTCTCAGGAAATGATGGTGTGTCATCCGGTGGTTTCAGTGGTTCTGAAGATTTAGGCATTGGCTGAATAGTAGCTATGGGAATAGTCGATGGTACCGATTGTACTGTTGATAACATTGGTGGTAGAGATGGCACAGGTACATTTGGCATGGAGTCCGCTGTCTGTTGTATTCTGTCGTCTGTTGTGGGCATCACAGGCTGGACGGGTTTACTGGGTCTAGCTGTAACCGGAAATTAAGTCACATTTTTATTTATTTATCTCGGTTGTTCTACCGATTTATTTATAGTTTAGGTTTATGATTTGAGAAGTTTTAAAATCTTAATTTTTTATTGTATTGCTTGGTGTATGGACTCCGAAAGTAAAATACATAACTCTGTTATCCCATTAGCTATCTACATTTATATCCATATAGGTACATATATCCACATTTATTTTGGGTGAAGAAATATTCCTGCACAATAGGGGAAGGAGTAAGCTACTTTAGTAATAATTTTGTAATATACAAGCTAAGTCTGTTTGAAGACCTACAGTAATATTTTTAGTTTTATCATTATTAAATGGAATAGGATTGCAACTTAATAAACGATCAGTTACTGAAGCAAACAAAACATGCATATCTGCCTTAATATAAAACTATCATTTTGTCTACTCTATGTGACAGTGTTTTCTCTTCTTTAAATCGTCTACGAGACAAATGGTTCGCTACAAAAATTTAAGTTTTTAAGAGACTAATCGATAATATGTAATTTTGTTTCGAACAGTTTGTCTAGCAGAAAGTGTTGGAAATTTAATTCTATTTTTAATTATAGATATATTTTCAGCTGACTTAAGTATTTTTGTTATAGAGGTCAAATGTCAATTTTACTTTAAAAAAATATCCTTTATTTCACCTATTAGGTACTACATTTTCTTGCATTACGAAGTGGTTATATGACCTGATAAACAGAGGTGCGTCATCTTTACTTTCATGTTGCGCAACATACTCGTAGTGCGCACGACGGACCTATTGAGAGTCTAAGTGCGGAAACTGAGTCCACAAACCAATAACCAATAGGAACTAGGAAATTTAAGGAACTTTAATGATGTTTGGTCTTATTATATAGTAGTAGTGTAGTATATTTGGTCTAGTATATACAGGTGTAAGTTAAACACGACTACAAACATGTTCTGCGCCGTGCTCTGTAACTTCCAAAGGCAATTGCGGTCCGGATCAACGTTTTTGTATGCAATTTCTATGAAGGTCTCTAAATATCTGTTGCGCTGATATCGCAACCTTGGAATCGTTCGGCCCAACTCATGACTTATGTCGAATTTGCAATAACTATCGTTATTGTAACAGGTAATGTTCATTTATGCTATGGATATCTAAATAATTATTTGATGTTATCAAGTTTCTAAAAGTATTTTTTATCTGTCGATGACTTTTTATAGATAATCAATATGATTATAGGTAGGCACATTGATTAAGCACATTATAAATAGCTACTTATTACTTCGTGGATATGCAATTTTTTAATACCTTCTTTATCACTCGTTTATGTTAGTATCTAGGCATTGTTAAATCAGCGAAGTAGTTTTAAGATTATCTTTGAAATATAAAAAGAAAAACGTCTTTTCACTTTATATTGTCCACAGTAGATGCTTCGTTCATGCACCAGCATTGGCTGTATGAAGTAGTGGCAACTGGTACCTATTTAAAATGACTTCTTCGTGGTGGAGGGAACAAGGCCTCGCTAATCTTACTGCATTACCATATTCCCGTTTCAGGGAACAAACGAAAGTTGGGATCATACTAAAAATCTTTTTATTAGAAATAGCTTTTTATTACTGGATGCTGGTTATTTGCTTACAGCCAGTGGCGTAGCTACCTAGGGGCTAGGCGGGGCAGTGCCCCCGGGCACTCAAGCTCAGGGGGGCCTCAAATCCTTACCAGAAATCTCGATAGTTCTGAACATTTGGAAATTTCTCCCATTTTCAAGATAAATATGACAGGATGCAACCCCACTTTAATCAAGACAACTCAGTTGAGAGAAATTCAAAAGTTATGCCTAGGTAATTCCCCTACAACTCATTGTATAACACGAATTAGATAGCAATTGAAAACAAAACCGCATCAAGCTTGGCTTTGAACGAAGTCATTGATACTTTTGCGAAAACTAAAGCTAGGAAGTTTTTAAAAATATAATTGTTATTTAGTTAGTTGGGAGGCCCGATCTTTATATAATAAACCCTTGAATCTTCTCTATTTCGTTTTATTCGCCAAACCTACACCAAGTATTTATTGTAATTTATGTTGTTACTGTTTAATATTTTTATTACCTGCCCTGCACAAAAAAGAGCTTAGTAGCATTTTTAAAGTATTTGTATATTTTTATTTGATAAAACCTAATCAGTTTACATAGCAATGGGGCCCCATTTTTTAATTTGTCCCACGGCCCTTGGTCACCTAGCTACGCCACTGCTTACAGCATCTTCCTTTTTGACGTGACTACGTCATTGACCTAGCTTTACCAGACTATAAGTATATATCTTATTTCAATAAAGATGTGTTTAAATGTATCATGTAGTAACTGCTGCTCGTGTCTTCGACGACGGTAGAATATGGCTCATTGAGACATATTTTATACTAGATTAAGACGGTAGTAGTTTTTGCGTTATATGAATAATGTAAAAGAGAACCTACTGAAGGGTTGTAGGTACGCGTTAAGAACGCGCACTTCCAATAAATAGTATTTGTTATAAGTACTTTATGTTAGAAATTACAGCGACTTATAGCCGCCAATCAAGTATGTACAATACAATTAAAAACTCCATCAATTCATAATTTATTGATACCACCTCACGTTGATCCTACGCCAAAGAAGAAACCGCCAACGAATCCGACAGAGAAACAGCTATTTTTTCTCACGAACCGCAGTACAGCATCCATCAACTCTTGACTATAACTCATAGCTTCTCTTACTTTTTCCCAGTTTACACACAAATATCCTAATTCCGTAGCAAAATGGAGTAACAATATACTTCCACCAAGGCCTACGGCAGCTGTTTTGCCAACTTTTATTACTCCAACTCCCGTTATCCACCCACTTATGGTTCCTAAAACTAAATCCTTACCATTGCCTTTACTAAAATTATTAAGTGTTTTCTCAAAGTAGCTATCTTCTGGTTTTACGTCTCTAGATAAATGCCGAAGATCGAAATCAGCTGGTATCGGCTTTGCCATGTGGATGCATTTTTCTATATTAGAACGCAAAACAATATAAAGTATATGGTATGTTTCAATTTTTAATAGCTTTTGATGTTAATATTTTGCCAACGTTTGAAATACGTGAAAGTTGACAGAATCTTTAAAGAGTATTTATTGATTAAGGTAACATAAGTATTTGATTATAAGGCACATTAAAAGTAATATTATTAGTTATTTTTGTAAAATGTTCCTAGTAACTGATATCTAAGTAGTAGAACATTAATAAAAATGTCGATGATTATGTAAGTAGTTTATTAGGTGGTTTTAATGAAACTTTGTAATCGTCAATGCTAGATGACTCAAAGAAAAAAAGTTATCGTTACTCGCCACTAGATAGCGCTAGCACATTAACATGACGTCTTACAGTTAAAAGCAGGTGGCACTATCGAGTAGTTATCGTTGAATTACCTAGTTTATCATTCAATAAAGGATTTATGGCGAAAGTTTGTAAATCGTCGATCTTGAAAAGTATGTCTTTACGTGGGCGGCACGTGAGCCATAGTCAGTTAACAATATTTTTAATATAAAAATGTAGTATACTATTGTAGGTAATATGCCCCCTGGGGCCTGAAAATTATACTGCTTCCATTAGAATTTGGTCACTAACCCAAGGCTATGTAGTTTAGGAAAATCAATAATACTCGACCATACATCACTGGTTCGAGTTTATCGAGCAAGGGACCATTCAAGTATTACGTAACGAATTTTGTGGGGGGGTTTTCCCCTTTTGTAACACGTTACGATGCGGGGCGGGGATTGAATTACGCGTTATTGTTAATATTATTTTCGACTTTCCAGTACTTTACCCCACAGAATGGTAACTTTTAGGTATAAAGAGTCACTTTGGTGGTTACGAAACGTTTTACTATTGTGTACAGAAAAACGTTACGGCGCCTTACATTGGGGGGGTAAATAATCTCCAAAAATTGCGTGACGTAATACTTGAACGCTCCTCAAGTCAATATGCCGGCTTTCGTTTTATTTTTAATAGATATCAGCCATTTCAGGAACTGATGGCTAAACAAAAATACTATTATTATCTCTTATCGATAATAATTGAATATTCATGAAAGTATTTCGCTGTTACCAAACCAGGACTTGCTAATGTCGTTGCCAAAAACTTTGTGTATTCTTGACTAATTTTTGAGTAATTATTAAAGTAGAAGCAGACATTTAGTAAAATTATGTAAAATTTATTGAGAACTACAATGGTTTAAACACACATATAGCCAGTTGCTTTCAAATGGAGAGATGATCAGGTTCCAAGTTAATTTTTGCTATTCGACACTAGGTGGTATTTTTCTTATTATTGTAAAGATGGAACTCAAAGTTAAACTGGAGTCCCAGCGCTGCCCCTTCTCATTATTATTGCAAAGCTTTCTTAATAATAATACAAATTATGTTTTAACCGTTTATACAAGGCTGTGTTGTTACCATTTATGTAGACATTTCTATTTTTTCTTTTTTACTTGACAGATTGATTGGATTCAAGGCGATGACTTAGTGCCAAGGACGTACGTATGTCTGTCTGTATATGTTATTTGATCATAATTGTTGACCAATGTGTAGTTTTTGCATTCCCTATTTCTGTCATAGAAAAAATGATAGTTTTAGTAGTAAATCTAAAGTTAAAACACTCGAATACATAATGAGAAATAGCACACAATTTCCACTACACTACTAGAAGCTGAGCAGGTGGGGAGGGAGAGGGTTCAAACAAAAAATAAAAGCAGGCCGGTCCGCGGGAGCTCCGCGAGGGCGGAGACCCCGCGGCGCCGGCGCACACGTCAATTTCACCGAATGTATTTCAATAAAATCATACTTTTTCACTTGTTAGGTATTGTCCATATCGTATCTAACTATTTTATATTTACAAGGGTAAATGCTTCGCTTACAAAAAGAAAACAAAAGTATTGAACACCTATTACGAGCTATAATTAATAATAGAGTCTATCTATCGATACAGAAAGAGGTTCGTCTCTCGGCGACGACCGGTCGAGTCCACCGCCCCCGGCGTATCACAAATGCGGGAGCGGGGACGTTTCGTCGCCATCTAGTGAATAAATATTACAACTGTTTCTGCAAATATGCCGAACTGATTACGAAACGTCCGACCGAACGTCGCCGGGTCCCGAGAGAACTCCGAACGTAGGCCTTCACGCGTCGCGACACGCCGAGGTAGAAAACGCGAGCCGAACACGTAACATACATTCTCTCTTCTCTCGCCGTCTCCACGGAGCGGAGGTCGCTCCGTTCGTCCACAATAAGTACATATTTTTCAATCACTCTACGATATACAAAGGTTTGTCCCGATTCATACATTGACAGGCGAGACGGCGGGTCGACGGCGCTCGAAACGATCGTGACACGTATTTAAATACAGCGAGGATTACATATAAAATATAGTAAACGGGGATACAATATAGTACAGGACGCGGCCGCCGCCCGCGCACGCGCTACGGTTCGTTGCGAGTCGCTCTAAACTAAACGCGCGCTGCTCCCGGCAGTTCGCTTCGTTCGTTCTCTTCGCTTCGTCGACTCGTAAAACGGTAAGGTAATATTAAAAGAGGCGTCTCACGAGAAGAGTTCGGGGAGTTAGTGTTTGTCGGTTGTCTCTTTCCATCGAAGCGCAAACACGATTCGAGAGAAAGAGACGAAAGAGGGTAGTTAATAATTATGATGAGATAGGATAGGATTTCGACAGAGATCGGTTAACGAACGCCCGAAAATAATATTTCTTTAATACGACCTTACCGTTCTATTTAATCGGATTAAATCTAAAGTAAAGTGCGAAGTTTACCGCGAGAGTAAAAACCTTCGGTAATTTTATAAACATTTTTCAACGTTTAAACGTTTATATTGTATAAGTCTTTTGAAATTCAAGCTCTTCTTTCCATCGAAAGAAGATTTCACGAAAAGAACAGATTTTTTAATCTCTACCTAAATTTTGTACCTTTATGGTTATCACCTAAACAGTTCGAGACGACTCGTCCGTCGGTCGTCAAGCCCTCTCCGGGCGAATTGGCGTAAAGTCGGCCACGTCGAGTGAGACTATCACATTTACGGCTACGGAGTTCGGACGATACCTCTGTACCTCCGCTCTCCTCTTTTATCACAACTGAGACGAACCGAACGCTCTCGAGGCCTCGGGCGTAGACCCGATGCGAGAGTTCGATCGCGAGTCGCGCTCGCCCTTCCCTCGCGCTCTTAAGACGGAGACGAATGTCGATTTGAAACCGAACGTGAGCGAGACCGGGAGGGAGTGAAACTTCAGCGGACGCGAAGGAGACGCTATCGGCCCCCCTCCGGGCCCCGGGCGGTGTGTCAGAGCGCGGCGGGCTGCGTGGCGGATGCGGCGGTGGGCTGCGGCGCGGGCTGCGACGACTGCGGGGCGGAAGTGGGCTGCTCACCGGGGTCGGGCTCGTAAGGCCGGAAGGGCCGGTAGAGCAACGGGGGCGGGGCCGCGGCGCGACGCGACTCCTTCTCCCTCACCGCTCTCTCTCGCTCCCGGGCTTCTTTTTCTCGCAGCTCTCGCTCTCTGGAAACGTCGAAGCTAGTTGAGACAAAAGTGTCTAAATATTTAAAGTGGCTCTTCACGTGTCCGCAAGTATCCTCACCTCTCCCTTTCCCTCTCCCGTTCGCGTTCCCGCTCCCTCTCCCTCTGCAGCGCTATCTCCTTTTCCCTCTCGTCGTGCAGAGCGTGCGCGTGCGCCGCGTGCTGATGGTGAGCCGGATGACCCGGGTGCGCCGGGTGGCCCGGATGTCCCGGATGACCGGGGTGTCCGGGGTGACCCGGGTGTCCCGGATGCACCAAGGATAGAGGCGGGGCGAGGAGAGGATAGGCGGGATAGGGCGGGAGCCAACCGACGCCCATTCCGCCCCTGAACATGCGTTCCAGGTAGAGTTGCTCCTCTGCCGCGAGCCTGTACCAAAAGTGACTTATAAATATCCTAAATAGCATAATAAAAAAATTAAATTATTACGACGAGTAACTCCTCTTGACTTTACTAGCATGTATTGAAAATGATACCTGTACTGCAAAGCGGCGCTGGAGTAGAGACCCGGGTGCGCGTAGGGCGAATAAGTGGCCGGCTCCAGCAGAGGGAACGACGCCGCGGGGTGCGACAGTCTGGTCGAGGATTTATTAAATTCACGTTACCAGATAATTATGTGAATAGATAACAATATTACAGTGAGATTATTATTATTTTCATAATCGGACGTTAAGGTAGAATACGAAATACCATCCGTATTACCTCGACGTCCGTCGTTCCACCACTGGTGGTTTTGAGGGCGGCTTTTGCCGTGCACCTGACTTCGAAAAAAGAGTGTACCAATAATAATAATCATTTTTATTCATCAGACAAATACAGTCCATTGATTCATTAGTAATACTCAAAAGTCCGGAAACGCACTCGCGAGACGTCTGGCACTGAGAGCGTCCATGGGCTGACCATGCTTACTGATTTAATATCAGATGAGCCCCCTGCCCGTTATATAAAAATGAAATTTGAGCCTCACCTGTCGTCGGGGCGATAGGGCTGGAATCCGGAGGCCGGCAGATGGTGTGGTGAGGCGCGCTTGGCCGGAGCCGGAGGTGGCTTGTCCTTGACCGCGTCCCGCTCCCCTCCCGTCGGTCCGCCGCCCGCTCCTGTACACTCGCGCGGTCAGCCAGAGGCCCGACACAGAGACCGACGTAAAGGTCGCTCGATACAAGACCGTCTTTACGGTCGACATTACAACTACGTTCACGAACCAGTGTCTTTGACCGTATTCAAAATAAAAGTAAAAACTCCGAGCAATACTGCAATACTGCAATCCGTGATATATTTAAGAAATCCCACACGCCTCGGGGAGGCGTCTCCGATAATAGTAAAATTAGAAAGCTTAGTTACGTATCATCGTTAGACAACACGGGGAACGCATTAACATTAATTGAGAACATCTCTGTATACAACACAAATAAATAATCACAAAACGTTGTATAATAATTGAAATAGTACAGTATTGCTCGTGGGGGTCGGTTGGGGGATAGCAAGCGTGCGACTCACCATCTTTAGCATCTGGGCCGGCGTTTTTGGCGAGCGTGCGTAACGCCGCCGCAAACGGACCGCCTTTATTCGCCGCCAGCTCCGTCCGCTTGGCAATTTTATTCGCACTCACACCTGGAAAGAAGAGAAACATCTTGCTTAATATCATACTCTGTTTAAATAGTTATAGTTAGCTAATGTAGATACTTAATAATTCCGCCGCCATGTTAACCCACGTTGGAAGGTGGCATATGTCGGCTGCTCACCCTAAGCAATGGTGCGGAACCGAGGGTGAAACGTATTTTTGTATTTTATATATGATAATAATCGTAAAAATTACTTGGCATTTAAAAAAATCCGTATTTTTGAAGTTATACTTCTTTAGGCGCGTTATGAAAAATTTATGAGAGTGAAACGCGCACCCGTGACACAAAATTAGGAGTGTGATTATAGCGTGCGCGAGCGAGATAGGAATAAGACAATCCAGTAAAAAGAAATAGAATATGCGTGAATTCGTATGCCAACAATTTTGAATGACCATAATGACATTTGTCATTTACCTTTTAAACAAATAAAGGAGTTTTAATTATTTTTTCAAAGAAATTTAGCGATGCTTTTTGAATTATAATCAGAAGTGATTAAAATTGAATATTTAAACCAATACTAATTAATATTTGTGAAAAAACTGTGCTCATCAACCTTCCTAAGTGCTTCAATACAATTGAGGTTAACTATCCGTATGTATTATTATTATTATCGAGTAATGTTTTGATTAAAAAATTAACCACATTGTTTAATCAAAACATGTAATTTTTCTGATTTTATCTAGCAAATATAAGGAAAAGAGACAAAAAACAATTGATGAATCAGTGTAACTGCACTAAATTGAATACAAAAAAGAGTTTTCATCTTATCGCTGTGAAACATCAAAAACTGGAGGTGGAACAAAGCCAAACTATTTTTAATATTGCCAAAGAAGTATAACTTCTTACGCGCGTACATAAGTACACGGGCCCTTTTTTTTTTTAATATTGTCAGATACATAAGAAGGACATATCTTTTCTATAATATGCATATTATGTGCACTGGCAGTGATTTACGGTGTTTTCTGACCAGCAATTTTTACTTGTTTCTGAATGCGGTGTTTAAGCACGAACTTGTGTACCTATACATTCCCCGCAAAGCATTGTCAACAGTGAAAATATATATATATTGTGGCAATGCTCTTCAAAGACAATGTAAAAAACAAAACAATACAGTGGGTTCACATGTTAAGTGGCTGATATAGTGGAGGGCATAAGTGACATTAAATAATGTCAGACGGTTCGTTCGGGCAACCCGTTAATTGACCTATGAATTAAAGTGGCCCGGGCTGATGGGAGCATGTGATCTCATTGCGGCATTGCCGGGATCAGGGGTCACGGGTCTGAGGTCTTGTATATAGTTAATATACATGCGTTTACATGTATATTTTACTTTTAGGTAAATTACATTTTTTATGTGCTTTTATTTTAGTTCGGGGTTAGCAATAAACACCACATAATTTTCGTTTCGTTAATAGATTAATATAGATATATTTATTAACATAAGTCATTTTATAACAACATGTGCCGAGTCATCGGGTGCTTTAATTAACCACTCGCGTACAACAATATAAGTGAAATAATGAAATGTTAATTGCTATGTAACGAATGAATGCAATGTAACAGTTGAAGAGAGTGCCTACGTCTGGCCTTACTCTCGGGGCGTAACTCCGTAACTTATAATCTCTATACTAGATAAGTGGAGCAATAATAAAGTCAATTGACGAGACAGCGGTTGACTAATACATTAGCGAGGTACTGATGCGGCGAGTCAATTGTGCCTTCACCCCCTGACCTTCTTCATTGCTCACATTGTGGCATTGCTCAACTGATACGGGACTCTACGACCATGTCATTGACGACGAGGTCGTAAATTAATAAGAGTTTATTTTAAACATACATAAGTAGATAAAACAGGTCTCTCTTTCTTATGTATTTAAAAAACTAAAGAAGAAATGAAAAAGTGCGCGGTAATTTCGTATATTCATACAACATAATCATCAATAAATCGGCCGATAGCGTGGGTAGCGATAGGTGGGCAAATAGAACACGGGGCATAAAATCAATTTCTCGTCGAGTGTCTGACTGAGACGCTACATATTTATGTTATCAACATGAATAGTTTTGTTAACATACTACACTGAAAACAATATTTTGGTAATGAACTTTACTATCTTCGTTTTTTATTATGGACAAAAAACATCCAGTGGCCCTACCAGCCCCTGGTCCAAAGCATTGACCCCAAATTACTGCATCTTTCAATCATCGGCTTTTGGTGTTCAGGGTTTAAATAAGCACACTCTCCTACACAAGAGAGGAATATCTCTTATATATTATATCATGTTCTTGTTTTAAAGCTGTAACCACAAATTTTTTCTCCAAAAATATATGTTTTACAAAACACTTCAAGATAACAATAGATGTTACTCAGCAATAATGGACGTTCAGTGTTTGGCCCTTACCCCCATTGGGGGCTATTCCCGTCCTTAACGACCGGCATTATTGATAAACACACATAATGAGGTCGGGTTTGTTTAGTTTAGTGCCGGCAATGTTGAACCGATATTGGGGAGTGTTTCCATTACAATAATTAGTATTGGTTATACACAGCGAGATTTGTTTGATGGTTTCGTGTCACGGATTAAAAGGATAGTAAAAATTAAATAAACTTATCTTACTAATGAAATATTGTTAAAACATTCGTAGAGCCTCTACGCGTATTTCTACGATGATGTTGCTCGGTAGTTGGAAAGGTGCTCACTACAACGACTTGGCGACGTCATTTTAATAATAAAAAAAAATAGTAGCGTCAAACCTTTTAAGGTCTGGGCCTCAGATTTCTGTTCATGATCATTTGTCAATTTAATAGGCAAGTAGGTGATCAGCCGCCTGTGCCTGACACGCCGTTGACTATTTGGGCCTAAGGCAAGCTCGTTTCCTCACGCAATAAATATTCGCCCGAACAGTGAAAACATTCTTCACCGTTCGAGCGAATATTTAATGCGCACATAGATAGAAAGTCCATTGGTGCATAGCCGGGGATCGAACCTACGATCACAGGGATGAGAGTCGCACGCTAGTGCCACTAGGACAACACTGCTCTCATTTTAATTTGTAGAATTAATATCTTACGATAATTATGAACGGTAAACATTCACATAAACCATTACATCAATTTATACTTCACGTGTTCGTCGCGGAGATAAATATATACATGAAGTCACCAAACGTACAAATGCAAAAAGAATTTCCATTTGTTTCACTTGAAACTTTTCAACGATATTATTAAATGCATTGTTGCAGAGTAATGTGAGCGGAAATTATATATATTTGAGAGTCAAATAGGTAGCGGCGGGTAGTTGCCGGCGCCGAGTGGCGAAACCTCTCACCCCTAACCACTGCAGTCATTATAGGGTTGTCGAATTGTCAGACAATTGTACACGAATTTTGTTGTAATATTTCTTATTCGCAAACATTTGTCGGTAAAACGTACAATCTAATGTAATAATTTCTCAGGATTAACTCATAAAACTTACGTTCGTATTTACAACTTTAATGCCAAAGTGAAATTCAATCGTTTTCGTAGATTAGTGCTAATTATAATTCCATTTATAACTATATATATTACAAAAATTTGCCAGTTAGAGCTCGACAGCCCTATCCTGAAGTAGAGTAAGTTCGCATCGGCACTCGCAGTACACTACAAGTACAACAAGTGTGCTGTATATTCAGTGCCAATTGCCGAGTCTGCGCATTACGGCGCTACACGGTCTGTGGGACGTGGGATAGGCGGTCGGCGATAGCGGTAGAACATTGTATTTGATACGGTACGAACGAAATGGTAATTCTTCATTGCTCACGCTGGCTTTTTATAGATTTACTAGCTGACCCAGCAAACGTTTGTTTTGCCTTGTATTTTATTTGTAGGAAACATTTTTTTAGTTCAATAAAAATAACGTTAACGTAAGATTGTATGTAATTAAAAATTGGGGGGGGGGGACACCCCTTATCACTTAGGGGTTCAAACCCTAACTGATAAGGTAAAGAAAAATGATAAATAGTAGCCGATTCTCAGACTTACTGAATATGAATATAAAATTTTATAAGAATCGGTCAAGCCATTTCGGAGGAGTATGGGAACGAACATTGTGACACGACAATTATATATATAGAGATAGCTCCGCAAAATATTTAATTATGAGTATTAAATATTAAAATCTTTGCCACACAAATAAAAACAAAGTCCATAGAGCGCATAAGCGCCGAGACCCCGAGTAAATACAAACAAGAACAACGCTCGAGTTCCCAACTCAAACCGGGCGTTGTCGGCGTCGTCTGCGGATTTCCATTACAACCCCCACCCCTTGGCCCCTCCCCCGGTCGGCAAACACTAACACCGCAAATGGGCCACTTTGCTGCCTACGCGATTTATTACCTAGCATCGTCCACCGAACGCTACCACTACTAGTGCCTAGTTACGCTTTTATGACTTTATACACAAGTACACTTTAAAATTCCCATCTGTATTTACTAAGCACCAGAGAATATATCTTTCTATACCAGTATTTTTTTTTATTGCAGGGTCATTGTATTGCAGTGTTGGCCTAGTAGCTTGAGAGTGCGACTCTTATCTCTGATGTCGTAGGTTCGAACCCCGGCTGTGCGGCAGTGGACTTTATTACTTTGTTACTTGCCTTAGACCCAAAAAGTCGACGGCGTGTGTCCAGACAGAGGAGGCTGATCACCTACTTGCCAATTACATTGACAAATGATCATGAAACAGATACATAAATCTGAGGTCCAGACCCAAAAAGGTAATAGCGCCACTGATTTATTTATTTTTTAATGCAGTATACATTTATATGTATTTTCTGTAGTCAGATATTTATTTGTCGTATTAATAACAATGTTTTGACTTGACTACAAATAATCCGGCGCCCTCACACTCTCCGCTTCGACTCTCCCTCCCACGTGTAACTCAAACCTGAGATGGAATGTATACTCGCCGTTTAATAAATTTTAAAAGCTTTTATCTGAAAACAAATATTTTACGATTATCAGAATCGCAGACTCGATCAAAAAAAGGCTATAACACGGGAAACTTTTAATCAAGATTAAGTCTTCGAAAGCTGTACAAAATCTGGCAGCGGCGCATATTACTACGTTTCGGGCTATTCAATTTCTAGCCGGCTCTTTGCGCGGAACTTTATCACGGGGCAATACAATCTAATTTCGTTTGGACCACACCGAGATTACCCCAACTTGTTAGGGTAAAAGGGGCTTCGGAACATCGGCTTTATTTTCATACTTTAGACGAAATTTATTTATTGAAGCTCTTATTCGTAGACGGTTAAGGGCGAGTATTTTCGGCTCGCTCGCATTTGTGTACATTATCTCGGCAGCCGGTGTCAACTTTTAATTGAAGTTTCCGAGTTGGGCGACAACTGTATCCAAACCGCAACAACGCTAATTGAAATTTTAATAATTACGCTTCCGTCGAAACACGCCTCGTTGGTCGCGTAATAATTGTGCTAATTAATTATATAACGATACGGCAAAACTTTGTTTCGCAAATATATAAACAACGCAAAAAAAATGGTTCTACTTCTAGTTTCAAGAGGCGTAATCTCCAATATCAATAACAAAGCGTAAACACTCGAACAAAACATAAGATCCACTTACAGCATCGCGATTTAGCGCGGGTTCGTTTAGCGGTTCAACGCACCGCGTGACACCGGCGCGGGGGCGAGCGATCTACCGGGGGTTAAGCCGGGGGGCGGGGGCTGCGGGGTGAGGCCGGGGGAGTTTATCACCTCCAACGATCCGCGGAATAAGGACGTTTTATACGCTCATCCGGATGTCAGATGGTGAGAGAATTATTACTGCAAACGGTGTCCGTGTCAAGAGTCAAGCTCGCGACTTGCGATTCTCACCGTGCCTCATGAATTGTTGTCGACACATATTTTACGTAATGTTGGTACAGATTTAATTTTGGTAACGCTAGAATGTATTAAATAGAAATTACTTTTAACTATATATATAAAAAGTAATTGTATCCAATGTCGAAAGTATATCAACGTCTAGAAAATAACGATTTTTTTTTTACTTTTACTTGTATACACAATTATGGATGAAATTGCAAAATCGGGTTCTACGTAGTTTTCAAAACGCTATCGCTTATGTTATGCGCCTTATTTTGCGGGTAAGTCGGGGATGCGCGCGCACGTCAACGGAGCGAGGGTAACAACGTGATTTTTATTTAAATGAGACCCTGAGATTAGGGCGATCATGTGAAATCATTTCTTATTTAAATATCGAATCCACGAGCTTTTATCCCTCGGGAAAAACTCACAGGTTCCTCCGAAAACAAGATGATGAAAAATACCAAGTTAGTTATTTTTATATTTTTCCTGTACAACGATAGAATATATGCGGAATAATTAAATGTTATTTCGCTATAGAACAAATGAATGCAACGTAACAGTTGAAGAGAGTGCCTACCCCTGGCTATTCTCTCGGGGCGTAACTCCGACGATTTAGAAAATAGCGACGCTTATAAAACTAACAAAGCCTCTGTGATCAAAATGTACAGCCTTGGCTCGTACAGATGTGATATTAAATAGTAAAACAAGAGTCATAATAAACGCAAACTCAATATGAGATGAAGGACAGACTTTTAATATGCCTGAACTGCGATGTATATCACGAGAAGTGTCAAATGAAAAATAGAAAACACAAAACGCGCGTCCCTCTAATTGAACTGTCAGAAAATATGCCAAAAGAATTACAGCCGTGATAGATATCGTATCATGTGTCGTGCATCAATCACTATTCTATATTGGTTGTGTAGACTCATTTAGACTTCAAAGGGAGAGTTTTGCTATGTGTCTACAGTAGTTAATAATAATTTGTGTTTATCTTGTATAAGGAACCAGACCTTTGGATTCTTTCCTCACTATACAAATACCGGTAAAATCAGTAAAATGTTTTAATACAATTCACTGACTTTACCTTTATAAAGAATTCACATCTTTTTAGTACAATAAGTGTTAGACATAATATTAATACTAGAAATAATGATCCAATTGTTCAACCGTTAGCCAAAGACATTTTACAATTAATTAGCCAAAGTACAAACATATTTTATGTGGTTAAACGTAACAATAAAACACCTTGTGACATATTAAAACTAAATGAACGAATTTTTTTTATTAAAAGTACACTTTGTAAACAAGCATATTACAAATCAGAGGATTATATTCGAGATAAAAAATGCTTGGAAACATGTTGGTCCTGCATTTTAGTATAGTAGTTTTTTTAGTAATTATGGAGTTTCTTACTTATTCTTCTCTATATGAAACTACCTTTTGGAAGGGACGACTACAGACATTTTTTTAAATATTTATAACTAGTATTTTTGACTTTCAAAAGTGAAGAAATATATGATTTTATTTTAATAAAATTCACTGATTAAAGCTTTACACGGCTAACGTCTCTCAAAGTCAAGCCCCAAGACAACCCGAGTCGTAAATTCAAACGTAGTGCGGGACGTCTTTGGCGAGGGTTCGTAGTTCACATTCATTCATCACGCGTTGTCAGCAGCAACCTCGCAGAAGCCTAATTGAGCATTTAGCCCACCGCAAAGTGTCGAGAAAGATTACTTAGGGGTAAGGCTCTGATGACATGACAATCCGAAACTGGGATCACCTGTTTATAAACTTACTGGTAAGGGTCTAGTTATTAATCGGTTAATAGCTCAATCTTTCAAGGAATTAACTTTGTCTTTTACAACAACGATTTCGGATTTAAATTTCTTATTTTCTTTATTTTTAATAAGGCGCTATTAAGAAGATTGGAACAACCAAAGGGCGATGGAGCGTTCTATTCTTCGGTTGAAACTTAAAGTTAAAAACTGTGCAATGCTGTGCGAAGCCTTACAAACAACAAATATCGTAACAAATTTAAAAAAGTTGAAGCGGAAATGGGCCGGTCACGTTACCCACGTTTGGCCCTTACTTGGAATATCCCAGCAAGAAGATGAAAGAATTGGAAATCGGCGGTGAGGATGAGACACAAGTAGAAGAATTTTGAGCCTCCTCCAAATTCATGACATGTGACATGGACTTAATGTAACTATTTTGACAATTAAAAGCGGAAAATATTCGATGGTTGTACCCACAAATAGAGAACTAGCGGAAGCTTTAAAAACTTCAAATACATGCGAGGCATGGAGGCAAGACAAAGCCATTTCTACTGACATATGAGTTTGTGTAAATAATCGTCCCAGCATGCCTAGGTGTGCACAGCTTTCCGGATCATTTGTAAGGTCACATACCGACCTGACGGCTCCCGTCTGCCCTCCATTAACTTGTCACTTAGGGCTTAACGGGATGACCGATCACCTGCGCGACGTTATCGATAAGATACCGGTTTTTAGCAGAAGATTTAATCATATCGAGCAGACGAAATACCAGTGCTAAATATGAATAGTTATTATTTTGGTAGATGAAACACGTGGTGGTACACATACCTGGGTGGGGGTAGTAAGGCGCCCCGGCGCTCATCGGATGTGGCGCCCGGTACTCCATCACTCACTATTCACGCACACATCACCTCACCGATATCAAGTGTCATCTATCGATTAATCAAACACCACACTACAGTCTGATATGAGCAATTCAGCGGTATCATTCTATCCAAGTGTTTTTTTAACTTCACGAATAGCCGTTATTTTCACGTACACAGTAATAGCTGAAATTCTTTGTTTTGTTCGATAAATATCAGAAATCTAGAAAAAAATCAATGACAAATGTGTCGATAATATTCTATTTACACGATGAAGGTTAAGTGATGTAACGATATAAACCACGTTATCGATAATACTGTTTTCGCGACATCCTCAGTTCTTTGTCCTGTCCCCGGTGATTTAATACCTTTCTATCGTCGGCCCCTACTCGACGTTTTCTCTGACAATATTATGTTACAAAGGGCTTATAAATAATTAAGTAGAGCCGCATCCGCGAGGCAATTGTATTTATTCATTGGAAATTCATAGGGAATTTATGAAATTCAAAATATCAGTAATCACAATTTTTCAATTATGTTTTCTAAAACATTTCAAACAATTTCAATGTAGTTTAATGCCTTACTCCCATTTTATCCTAGAAACGTGTTGTTTATGTCAACATCGGGATTCTAAATTAACTCCCAAAGCAAAGTGGAACGTGAATATTATTATAATTACATCATGTATTTGTATAATTTAAACAACATTAATTTCAACCTTCCTTCATTAAACACTACATTGTAAATGAACAGCCTTTTAAGGTATGAACATTGAACATCCTTTATAAATCTTTGCCAAAAACCGACCGTACGAATAAAATGAAGCAATTTTTCGGAGGCGAATAGCGGGAGCCAGCGTACACGGAAAAAAGGCTTTCGCAAATTAACAAAACGACCAAAAACACTGGACTGCCCGGCTTTTAGACATAATGCGATAAATCGAGTCTGCACGTAAAGATTTCTAAGCCATTTTGTTGCTTTTGATTTTATATACTAAACTAATTACCATCCTGAATACTTAAAACGCCAAGAAACGCATTTGAATGTGAAAGAAAGCCAACTGAAAAATATAGGCTTAAATGCGATTAACTGAGCACTTAAAGCGCTTCAGTGGTTATTCAAACAAGAAAGAGTATGAGTGCGGCGGTGTATTTGCACTCGCTTTAAGCGGCGTTAAGTGACAAATCCTCAGGGATAGCGGAATGAGTCTCGCTAATGGAAGCGTATACGGGATCAGTTATAATTACGTACTCAGCGCTCGTAAACCACACAGCTTATCTAATAATTCAGATATTAAAACAGACTATAATTCCTTTTATGGGCAATAATTATAAAAAGAAAATTGGTTTGTTCGAGTACAATAAGTGAATGCACGTTGTTTTAAAATATTTTACGAAATAATTTAAAACAGTTTTAATAATAATGAAAAAACTTTTTAAGCTATTACAATTCGCGCGAAAATTGTAAATTCTATTTTAAAATGCATACAGCTATCGATCTATTTCGATAAATAGTTAATTAGACAATTTTCGACTTCGCTACAGCAATTTCTTGAAAATAATATGGAAATTAAATAACAATGGTTAATAAAATACTTTAGATGTTAAGATGTTACGAAAAGTATTAAAAAGTTTTTATCGTAAAAATCAAATTTATTTTCATTTAGTTACCTATTCGTTCAACTTTAACTTCGCAAGAATTTGTCAATCACATAAAATCGTATATATCGATAATAAAATCACATCACTACAAAATGCGACAAGCGATATACGACCGCACACAACGTCACGACGCTTTCAACTGACAACTATGTAAACGGTCCCACTTCGGGGCGCTTGCGCGGCATTCGCCACGACTCACAGTCAAATATAACCCCAACCACCCGCCAATAAGGCAACATTTCACTTGAAACAAACAACAGCCACCTGTACAAGTGTGCACGGCCGGAAGTCCACGATGCACTGTCATTTCCACTCTTCCACATTGCTTCCCTTATAAAATTGCGATTTGCCCCGCACCGGCGAAATGATTACGCGGGGGATAAATAACGCCCCATCGATACATGTTTACGGATGTCTGGATTCACGGGTCGTTATCGGGCGCACAATTAAGTTGCAAATTAATATAATTGAATATAAATGCTATTACAATAAAAATATATTGTTAAATCAACAAAAATAAATCCTATTGGGCATTTTAATAGTGACGTCGAAAGGCAAATACCGGAATTGAATGAGCGACGTAAATAAGTTACGAGGGATATCAACGCGACGCGGCCGGCCATTTACACCAACCCACCGACTGTTGCGTATGTGCAGGGATAGATTTAGTGATGCGCTTATACATCGACAATTTTACAAGCATTACTCATATGAAATCAATAAAAAATCACCAATTTCAATTTAACAAGTGCTTTTGTTGTTAACCAAATGTTAAATATTTCAAATAAAAAGGAGATAGATATATTCTAGCTTAAAAGTCAAGTGATATCAAAACCATCGACAAATGCAACAGCTAATACATCACTAGTAACTCTGAACTCCCCCAGCGAGACAGCCGACACGGCATGCATCATAGACACAATTTATTTATACTATTGCGCGCTGTTTTCACTTACAAATTGCTGAAATCAATACACTACGTTACGCGAGCAAAATTGGCATTAACTATTTGCATTTGCTTGTTGTTGTATGCGGTTAAAGAATCTATATATTATGTAGTAAATGATCTGCAATAGAATGACGCAGAACAAAGGCAATGCCGATATTTGAATGGCCTTGTAGCGATGAGGGGTAGCCCTATCTCGGCATGGCTACACAGTACTGTAGTGTAGACAAACACAAGTACTTGAGCCGTGTAAGCTACAGATCCCTACTAACCACTTCGTTCGGCGCAAGCGCCCTATACTCGATGTAGAACTACGAACGAATAGACTTTAACTAAACCCAAAACACGATTTATTAAAATGTTGTATGTTATAAATAGCTGCAATGTCATATAACTTTACTTCGGTTTTGACATAGTTCGCACTAAGTATATGAATCAGAGAGTTTCATTAAATTTTATTTAGTCGAGTTGTTCGGATACCATGTATAAAACCTGCAGCTGAGTTTAATAATCGGACGAGGCAGAATACGAAATCCCACCTGTATCACCTGGACGTCCGTCGTTTCACAACTGAGCGTTTTTTTAAGGTAGTTTTTGCCGCGCACCACTGTGTGGTACCAGCTCACCAAAGTAATTCCGAATCAATTCTTAAAGGCACTCGCGAGCCCTCTGGCATTGAGTGTCCATGGGCAGCGTTATCCCTTAACAGGTGAGTCTCCTGGCCGTTTGTCCCCCCCTATTCTATGACTAACGAACGAGGTCGCACACGCAAAACCAACTTCAATATAAAAATAAACATGGAAAAATACAACTAATAAATCACAAAAAACACATGAGCATTATATAGTTTGTTTAATATAGTATTGAATATTAGTCTATGGTTTCAAAGCTCTACACTCGGGGAGTCGGAGTATAGACGGGGTGTGATTGCATTAACCGTTCGCCCCCGCACTAATCACACTACACGCTATACAGCGTGTTCCGCACTCGTCCAACTGTAATGGAAGGGTTGGACAACTATATGTACTTTTAACGCTTATAAATTAATTTCAAATTTGTCAAAGATAAGAAAAGTAGCGGCTCATTTGGAACACGGAGCTTTTCTCACCGTATTGCGTGTGTAATTGCGCATAATAAAAACAAAAAAAAAACAGTGGAAATAAAACCTTTTTAGGTCTGGGCCTCAGATCTTCTGTATCAGATTCATGATATTTTGTCAATCTAATAGGCAAATAGGTGATCAACCTCCTGTGCCTGACTTTTTCCTCACGATGTTTTCCTTCACCGTTCGAGCGAATGTTAAATGCGCACATAGAAGTAAAGTCCATTGGTGCACAGCCGGATATCGAACCTACGACCTCAGTAATGACAGTCGCAGGCTGAAGCCACTAAACCAACACTGCACAATTGCATAAGATACAAAAGTGAGAAAAGCTTAGTTTGTTGACTATAATCCACTTTCAAATGAATTTAACTCGATCTATGAGTTATTCCCACCCTACATGAGCCGGTCATTTGGTCACTCGGTGTCATCCCGCCCCCTTATGGTGGCCATTAATTGCTGTATTAACGCTCTGCTTGTCTTACTGTGACCGATTATTCGCATCACTGATCTCAATTGCCTCGACGTATGACCAGAACTGCCATGACCAGTATAATATAATATATATTGTTTTAAAGGAATTTCCGATAATATATAGATTATGAGTCATGTCTGGTCATATCCTTGATAGACATAACATTTATAACAAACAAAAACACACACAAATAAACACACAAAATAAGAATAATCAAAGAAAATAATAAAATGAGAGATATCGAAACGAATAAAAAATATTAAAAAAATCCCTTTTTCCATTCGGTTAGTTTCAAATGAGTAATGCGTGTGTACGTCAACTGTGGCTGTAATTGGCCCTGGCTCAGCATTATGCTGAGGAGCAGAATGTTTCACAGCGCTGGTCATTCTGCCAGATCCCACAGCAGCTAGTTTGCGCCTCAGTCGCAAAAAAAGAAAGAAAAGGAATGTAATAAATACTTAGTAGAAAAGAAAAGTTACCAGTGTACGCGATACTCCTCTGATCTTTCAGAGTAACATTTAGTTTGAAAAGAGATAAAATTAAATAAAACAAAACATATTTTTTTAATTCGCCAAATTATCGCAAATCGATTCAATTAGTCGTTAATAAACCTACCCTTATAATGCTAGGGGACAAAGTTGATTGGAGTATTAAGGCAAAGTTCACACTTGATCATTTCAAAAATACACGTTTGTGAAGATGCAGAGTAAGGTGCACCTAGAAACCTATTTTCTTGTCATAGAAAAGGGTCACCCTTGAAGTTGTCCCAATAATACAATAGTTTTCAGTTATTATGATGAAATTGAATCTCACAGTTCTACTAGAACGTCTCCATCCCTTTGAGAAATAAGCTTCTAAGCGCCACCTAAATTTGTAAACGATTGTTCGATTCACAATACGATAAAGTTTCGAGACAGCTTTGTGTACATAGCGTTACAACCCAAGTCTCTGATGTAATAAAGCGTCCTATTGAAGGTCGTGATTTTAATTTGAGATTCACGTTCCGTCTTAGTCAACAAAACTTCGTTCAAAAGTAATAATTCCCTCGCAGTTATTTAATTTAATATTTGTATCCTGCATTTATCTATTATTAATATCTCATCTATTAATTGTAGTTATCTATGTATAGACAATCTCAACTGGTGCCCGATCGGCCGCACTGCTGTCGCGCCTGCGTATTGCACTGACCCGTTTCCATACTAACACGGGATGAAATATTACAAGCTATCAATTATAAAAACATAGATTCATGTGACATAATAATAAAGTATTTATTTAAGCAGATTTAGTTATAGTTATTTTTTTTATTGGCTTGCTTAATTTTATCCCTTTTAGCTTGCTTATGTTCTAATACAATTGATGTGTACGTGTGTAAAATTTGTTATGTCATACTTTCTTGTATAATTTTATGCATACACGTTGTTTTAGAACTTATAAATAAATACAAAAAATCATAAAATTAATAAGTGCCGTCCATTTCAATTACCCATAACAAATTTATATGTTAAACAACGCGTACAAATCAGATACAATTTCTTAAAATTATCGTAAGAAACAACGAAAACGCGTTCCTTAGCGACCCAAGAGTACTCATAAAGCCAGGTACTACCGTTTTTAAACAAGGCCACACACTCCAACATACGCCTTACAACTCTCATGTTACGGGCTATAATAATTCAGCAAACACAAGTTTAATACACTCGAGAACATAATGATCCAAATTCAAAGCCTTACTCCCAGTGAATAAGGACTACGATCGCTTCATCCGTTCGCTGTAATGTACGACACATGTCCATTTTAGTACTTTTCAGGAGTTTCGAATGTTTGCGGTCGATTTATAGAAATCGCAGCGGAGTTTAAAACTTATTTCTAACGTAATACAGGTCGTTTTAGAACGCTCGTGTTGACATTTACTTACAGCTTTCTGATATTAAGTATGACTTACAAGAGTGAGATTGTAAAAATAGAATTAGGGAGGCGTTTCTTTGCGTTGGGGTCGATGGAATTATTTCAGTTTATCAGCTAGGAAATACTTATGATGCCGGAAATGATTTGGGTAACATTTTCGTTTAATAACAGCTAGGCACACCAGGCTCTCAAATGTCAAGAATGAAGAACTATTTTACCATGTTGATGCCCTAAGCCAAAAGTCAAGGATATGAAGTCGTAACAGTCGAAAGTGGAGAGTGAAGTGGAGGATATTCTCATCCGCATATAAAGTACGGTTCGTTTAAAAGGAAAAACACATAATCGCGTGAGCACACGGGCGCAGGGATACGTGATCCCGACGCGGTGTCAATCGAGACCCCTCACCTCTAGGGCTGTCTCATTCCATCTGCCCCATATTGGCATGAGTTTTTCAATTCATTATAAAATATTGGTAAATAACATTGAAAATTAAATATACTAATATAATAGGAACGGCTATATTTTATGGAGCTATGCATCACTCTTCTAAAAATAGTTCTGTTTACAGTAAACACATACACACAAATCACGCTGCTTAAAGCCTGCATTTAAGAAATGTAGTCTCAGTGGCAAATCATAACACGATGTTTTGACAACCCTAACACAAGCCGTCCCCCTCGTAAGCGTCTGGCTGGTGGAGATGGTAAAATGCGCGTCCTCCAAGACCCCCACCATTAGCCCCTCTCCCGAGTGAATAATTCAAGTTGGCCAATAAAGCAGAACGCAAGAGCAAACATCCGCCCTCGAGGGATAAGTGGATATGACTTGAACAGACAAAATACACACCACGAAATAGTCAAATCATTTGTATAAAAATTTCACCTCAATGCCAAATGAACACAAAGAGTATGCGTCCTATGATTTATGCCAAAACTACAAATAAAACTTCAAGAGCAGCCTCTACAATAAGTTTTAGATAATCTCTAGTTCTTGGAGAACGTTTGAGTTGCTCACTAATAAAAGACTTTAAGATAATAAATAATAGATAGAGCACTAACATATTTATCAGTAGGTAATCCAAAACACGCTCCCTCACACGACTTGCTCCCTACTTGCACAAAACGCGTTGAGTCGTAAACACGAGACGGCTCACTCCTCATTTTTATTAGTAGGTAACCAAGTACACTTTTAATCGTCAAGTTAAATTAATCGTAAATTTACATTTACTAATAACATTCCACAGAGAACTGAGTCGCTAACAAAACGTCTCGTGCACGCACTGGTTATTTCGAACGTACGTCATTGTTTTTGGTATAAGAACGATTAATGTAACAATCAAGTTAGTGATTTAATTCTGTCAAGTTATTGCTTTAAAAATTAAAAGTATACATTCATAATTCAAGAATCCGCGACAACGTCGCAGACCAAATTAATCTTGTTTTTGAAGTGATAACTTCTTATGGGAGGGTAAACCGCTTCGTTACGTAACGCGTTACGGCGCCGTTATTACACCATTACACCAATATACGGCAGCGGTAGCCCGGCTCCTCGTCTCTCATTAAAACCCGCAGTGCTAGCCGTATTTGGGACAGACGCTTTTCCACCTCTTTACTCAGTGTAAAATTATTTGTCATTCTATCAAACATCCTATGCCCTAGAAAGGAGACTGTCGGAGATCGAAGGTCGATTTTTGATCTACCAGATCCTGGGACCATCATAGAATATGAGCTAAACCAATGTAAGAAAACGAATTCCCTTAAAATGTTACTGCTAGCTTCTAGGCAATGCAGCAAAAGCGTTATCGCGGAGCTAATAACAATTAATTAGAGAGTGTTTCAATTGGATTCCCGCGAGGTGAAGTATCAAGAGAGCTGGCGTTCTGCCAACACTATCTCATTACACGCAGATCTCCCCGCCTCGGAACTAGAGCGATCAATTTTATTGCGCTGTATTTCGTATTTCGTATAATGTAGAATTTGAACAATATTTTAGTTTAAAATTTCTCATTAGACAATTCGTTAATGGACAAAGTATCGAGAGAGAAAATACAGCTTTATTTTAATAGAACAGGGGGCAAACGGGCAGGAGGCTCACCTGATGTCAAGTGATACCGCTCATGGACACTCTCAATGCCAGAGGGCTTGCGAATGGTTTGTTCTTGAAGGAACCTAAGTCGAATTGTTTCGGAAATACTTAAATGGGCCGCTGGTTCTACATAGTGGTGGTGCGCGGCAAAAACTGCCTTAAAAAAACGGTCAGTTGTGGAACGACGGACGTCAAGGTGATACGGAAACAACTTTAAACATATCAATAGTGTATCGAAGCTCGGATACAGGTTAAGACCAAAACCGCATATTATTTCATGTGGATAAAATCGAGATGGTAAAATGCGCGTCCTCCAAGACCCCCACCATTAGCCCCTCTCCCGAGTGAATAATTCAAGTTGGCCAATAAAGCAGAACGCAAGAGCAAACATCCGCCCTTCGACGGACGTAAGGGATATGACTTGAACGACAAAATACACACCACGAAAAGTCAAACTTTTTAAAAATTTCATATCAATGTTTTATTAGTGTAAAACTTCAAGACAGCCTCTCATTTCGGATACAGGTTAAGACAAAAACCGCATATTATTTCATGTGGATAAAATCGAGATGGTAAAATGCGCGCCCTCCCAAGACCCCCACCATTAGCCCCTCTCCCGAGTGAATAATCAAGCTAAACACAAGGCAGCCTGGTACAGACAAAATAGACACCACAGTTAATAGTCTAATTTCACTCAATGCCAAATGAAAGAGTATGCGTCCTATGATTTATCCAAAACTACAAATAAAACTTCAAGAGCAGCCTCTACAATAATTTTTGCGAATGGTTTGTTAGGATACAGGTTAAGACAAAAACCGCATATTATTTCATGTGGATAAAATCGCTGCAGCAGCTAAACAAAACCCCCCGTTTTTCCCAAAAATTTTAGGGGTTTAAGAACAATGCACTGTAGGGATGTGCCGTTTTTATTCATTTATCAGAAATATATTTCTAAAGGTGTTTTACGAATTATGTTCATTCAGACCTTGTCATTGTAATAAATTTTCCATTGAAAAGAGACATAACTATTTTTAATGGAAATTTAATAAATTAATAATTTGTCAATAGTTATATTCTTGTCAATATTTATCGCATGCCATTAATTCTCCAAAGAAAATTCTTTAAAACACCGGCATAACATCGAATAAAACACCGAAAATAAACCCATCACTTCGACAACACTAGAGCAAAGTGCAAAGCTGATCAAGCGGGACCACGCTGACAACGCGATACGACAAGCCCCACTATCGAGTATCGACACTCTGCACATACATTGGCAGCTTTTAGCGCAAAACTCCGCCCATTCCAAGTTTAAATGTTCACACACTTCAGCGATTGCGATATCAAAGTTATGATCACTTAAAATAATTACTTTTTGAAGGGAGATACTTATTTAAAAGCAAAAGACATTTATTACAATATTCATGAATATATGGAATGGTAGACAAATTTATACGCAGTAGTCTAGGCCTTGAGATCAGTCAGCTCTGCCTATGCATTAAGGAAACAGATCAGAAATCGCGGTATTTCGTCACCGGCAGAAAAAAACTATTTTTAGTTTTGTTGGCTGGCGACTTGATTAACATTTGATTGCAATTATAATTTTAGAACACTAAATTGTACAGTGTACACGTTTACCATGCTTAAACTTAAACTTAATAAAGACCGAGTTATATGTTTCAATCACATATTTGAACATTGATAACTGATAAAACCAATAACACAGTATGGAATGCAATAAAGCGGCTTATCGGAAAGCTATTGTTGTGAGGGAGGCGAGTGGGCGAGAGGGTGGGATTGAGTCGCACCTGTGACGATGAAACGCAAATTGGAGAACTGGAATGTCACAAACATTGGATTCAGGCTACCACGTACAGTTACGAAGCCACTCTAATTTTGTATTGCATCATTCAAAGTCAGTTTACATTGCGTATTTTATAGGAAACCGACTCGTCAGTAAATATTGAAATCCAGCGTCAGCGGTTAATGTATGCGTTAATATATATATTTTTTTTTTTTTTTTTTGCTTTTAAACGGGATAAATAAGGCGCAACTGCTTTCTCTTAATACAAAGATTTATTTAAAAAGAAATATCTATAAATTTACATTTAATAAAAAATATATTTACAAATTATTCACTCACCTGTGAATACAAAAGAAAAATTTAAAGCCCTATATTCTAGGTTTTATAAAATAAAATATTAAGATTAAAACATCTTAATCATTATGTCAAGTGACAAAAAAAACATCGTCGATCAGACGGGAAAAAAAAAAAAAAAAAAAAAAAGAGATTAAAAATGTATGTAATATATATTAAGATATCCTAGCCTTTTGATAATAAAATCAATAATTGTTTCGGATTAATTATACGATGTTTTTTTAATTTGTTAACATTAAAAAATTGTATTAAAGATCGTATAATAACTATTGAGTAACGTGAGTAACTGAGTAAGCGAGAAAACTCTATTAAGTAAGAAGCATGAAACCTGTATAAGTGACAGTCATTTTCCACGCGTGAACCTGTAAAAGTGTACGGTTTCTAGGTCATCTGTGTGCTCTTAATAGTAGAGGATTACGTTACTTAGTTTTACTCTATATTAACCACTCGCGTACAACAATAGAAAATAAGCGAAATAATTAAATGTTAATTGCTATGTAACGAATGAATGCAATGTAACAGTCGAAGAGAGTGCCTACGTCTATACTCTCGGGGTGTAACTCCGACGACTTAGGGAAAAGCCACGCTTAAAAAACGAAGAAAGCCCTAGTGAGTGGAATGTTCAGCCTTGGCTTGTACAATAAGAGAGATTGACACTTGCCGGTAGACATCCCTACTCATCGGCAAAGAAGACAGAGGGTGTAGGCGGAAAGAAAAAGCAGGTGTAAAAAACTCTCAGTATACTTTTAAAATATCAAGTCACCATACAAAATGACTGTGGTAAACATAGATAGAAGAAACCAGAAGAAGGGAGATAGGGTCCGCTCTTTATTTGTATTAAATTACAAAACTGAACAGAAACCTCGCAGTCCAGTTTCCGGATGCGGCATCTGTTCACCAGCATGACGTGTGAGCCAGGCATCGTTTTACTCAAACATATTTGAGGGAATTAAACGACCCGTCATAAACGCCACACTGTAGCTCAGTAAGCTAGAAACTGAGGTTAGTGAGAAACCTCTATAAGGGAAAATGAGATCGCGGTCCCTTGAGCTCTCACTTATCCAAGTTTTACAATTTTACAACAAAATTGTTTACTAATGAAAGAGTCAACTTTTTGTTTTTTAAATTGTAATGCTGTGAAAGAGCTACCCTCCTGTGTCACGATTATCGTTCCGCCAATACATTGAAACGGGCTTTGCAAATTGCGTTAGCGAACAACGAACTAATTTAAACTTTATCACAATTGATTAAAGTTTATATTAATTTTCTGTTTACAATGTTTCGGTACCGCCCCCCTCTTATCCTTATACATAATTCTTGCTTAACAAATTGATACTTAAGGAGATTTCAAGAAACGAGGAAAAACAAACATTCTGCGTACTAAACAGGGATATATGAAATTCGTTTCCGTGTTTCGGCACCATGAACAAAAATAACCTAACGTATAGTATAGTCCACCAAACACAATTAAAACTATTTAATTATTAACCGATTGACTCTTATATTACATAGAACTATACTGAGAAATTCTTTTTGAGGCTCTGGCTGCTCTGGCTGTATAAGCGCAAGGCCGTCTCCTGCAACACTCGGACCTCGGTTTGAGTCATCGCGGGGTGGTTAATCGCCTTATGGCAGGACGGAAACTCACTGGAGTGAGCGAAGGAAAGGTCCACGCCTTCTCCGGTAAGGCGGTATTTTACCGGCGCGGGCGGCTTTTACTATGTCGTTAGTTTCGCTGATTGGATCATCAGGATCCGTTAAGACATGTCGGGGCCTCCTACGGACCTTTTTTATCGGGAAGGGGTAATAAATGATGCATTTAACGGACGGTTTTGACACCGGGTTGGGATGATGTTTAGCCTTGTCACAGTGGCGTGGCGTGGATCGACGATCCTCACGTAGAAGGTAGCACTATTCTCATGAATCGCGACATTTTTGAAGTTTTTGTTTTTTACGTCACATTTTTCGGTTACGGCTGTTTTTTGTGAAAATTTTTATCGGCGTTGGAATGAAACTTCTTTATCGACGTATGGGAGAAATTTTGTAGCAAATCGTCACGTTTTTCAATAATAGTAATAATTCTATTACAATTATTGAAATTCGATAATAATCTTCGTAGTAATAAGGTAAAATGAAATATTTGTATTCATGTCTATGAATATAAAAGCCTTTTGTTAAACTTTATCTAATTTAACGAATTTCTGTAAAGTTATAGCATATAAAGCATATAGTAGATCATTTTTCGAAAAATAAGATCTTATTTCTTAGTTTCACTTCTTACGTGTGTACACCTAGTACACGCACAATTTTTTTTTATAAAACAGGGGCCTCCCAAACGGGCAGGAGGCTCACCTGATGTTAAATGATACCGCCGCCCATGGACACTCTCAATGCCAGAGGGCTCGCGAGTGCGTTGCCGGCCTTTTAAGAATTGGTACGCTCTTTTTTTGAAGGACCCTAAGTTGAGTTGGTTTGGCGACTGTAGCTGAAGCTGACTGTACAATGCGCGAAGACAAAGCTAGCGTAGATCATGCACGAGTGGACAAACGGTTCAAACAAATATTAAATCTTAAATACCATAATTCTACGTCGTTTTGTTATCGCGTTTTACACGACGCCATCTGTTGTTTAATAGTTAAATTAAATTGATGAATTTTAGACAGCTATTTAAAGTGATTTAGGATTATTGCTAGGGATTAAAATTGATACTATTTTATTCTCTGTGACTTTGTGACAATAACTTGGGGCCAGACGGCCAATCGTTCGACTCTTTCAAAATTATCTCAGATTTTTATATGTTGCAGTTGCAATATTATACTCAACGTAATGGTATTAAAATATTCTCTATATACTACATACATATATATAGTATGTAGTTATATAAACGTTCTCATTTCATGAAATATAGAGTTAATCCTTTAAAAGAAAAGGAAACTTCATCATTATTATACAAAATATTAAGAATCGCCAAAACGCTTCTCTAAGTAATTAACGTCGACGTCATCGTAGTTTTGTGACGTACCATGCTTGTAAACACGTAAACAAATGTCAATTACGAAATTCTTAAATTCCTACGCCAATTTTAAACTCTGATTTTTGATATATTTAATGATTATTAAAAAGTTATTTTAGTCCAAAACGCTTTTGAACACTGGTATTATACGGATTACTCCCAATATGTATGGCCACGTACCTGCGTCGTGCTTGTCGATCTTGTGGTGCGCGGGAGTGGGTCTGCGCTCGGGCGGAGGCTTCCCGCTGGGACTGTGACGCTTGCCGCGACCCACCACCAGGGACTGCGGAATCTGCCGCAAGGCGATAGAGTACATTAGAATGCCTTCTCGCGAGGGGAAGGAGTCGAGGTCGCCCACCCACCAGCTTGTCGGAGCGGTCTCCCGAGGGCAGTCGGGCGATGGTGACGTCGGCGCTGTCCTCGGGCGGCGGAGGCTGCTGCAGCCAGTTGTACTCGCGCTTCTCCACGGGCACGCCTCGGCGCTCGTAGTCCTGCGCCTGCGTCCTGCGTTCGTACGGGCTTTAGTCGAAGTTAAGCGATAGTTCAGTTATTTATTTATTAGAGTTAAGCACATAATACATAATGCTATATCTTCAGTATATACTACAAGCTATATTTTCCTGAAATATATGACAATTATGGTAAACACATTTGTTACAAGTTTAATTTAAAAATAAAAAAATAAATTTTATTAGCAAAACAGCAGATTAGGTATCAGATAGGCATTTAACAATGTTATTTTTAAATTGATCAGCCCACTACCGAATATATCAAGCCCTGTATAAGTAGTGTTTATTCTTTTCGCGAAGAATTCGAATGAGAGGTGCATGAACTCCTAGGTTGGTATTTGCCGACGGAATTAAGACCTTGGAACCGAATAGGGGCAAATTAATACAATTTAACAATTTGTATGAGAACGTAACACCGGCTAGAGATCTCCGATCGTACAGTGACATCATATTAAATTTCCCGAGTCGCTGATGGACGGGTGCCTATGAGAAGATCCCGTCCTAGTGAACGCAAAGTGACGAGTATATAATCTTTGAATACTTTCAATGCATTCAATCACGGCGATAGAACTATATTGTATTTCCCGTCACCCAACCACCTTTCAGTCTTGCCACCAGAGTCTCACCTCAAGCTCTCGTAGCAGTCCAAGCACACGACGGCGTAGTCACCGTTCTCCAACAACAACGAGTTCTCGGTTCTCCTCTGGCTCAAGAAGGGAAATTCCTGGAACAACACACACCAGAGATGAGCACCGCCGACCGTGTACGTGTACGTGCCGTACGACGTCGGAGAGGGCCTCACCTTGATGGGCAAGGCCCGCACCCGCTTCCTGTAGGTCTTGACCGCGCAGAGGTGGCAATGGTAGTCGTGCGTGTTGTAGGCGCGTCTCTCGGCCGGGAAGTTGCCGCTCTCTTCGTATCTGCAGTCGGATACGAAAAGATTTAGAAAACTCTTGAAACTATCAAATATCTTTATTATAACTGGAAGCTTCGATTATGTCGAGTCTACTAAAGAACAGTGTTAACCCTGAGGTCGTAGGTTCGATTCTATATCTTCTATTTTCGCATTAAACTTTCTCTCGAATGGTGAAGGAAAACATCGTGAGGAATAGCAAAAATTTACTGTCAGAAGCCTAATCATCTACTCGCCTATTAGATTGAAAACTGATCATGAAACAGAAATCTGAGGCCCAGACTTAAAAAGTTTTAGTGAAGTTTTTTTAAATACATTTTTGTTAGTCTAGTAAAATTTTAATGATATAAAGTATGAATCTCACCTCCTCCACTGACTGAGCAAGGAATGGTAACAGAAGGTACAGACTAGGGCGGAACCGTTCTCGCGCAACTGTTCCGCGTTTGGATGACTCTGCAAGGGAAACGATAAAAATAAAAGACCTTTCTGTCGCCTCTCGATATGGGCAGATCTCATAAACGAGAATAAAACCTGATGCGTGAGCAGACAAGGGAAGTAGGGCGCGTTGCCCTGCGGCTGGCCGTACAGGATCCGCGCCAGCGTGAAGTCCGAGTGCAACCCGCACAGGAAGCAGTAGATCGACGTGCACGCTGCAGAATTACAAAATGGAGAGCATTACGGAACGTAGCACGCAATTCTGCAATTTGTGAGGAAGGCAGAAATAATCAGGGAAAAGATCAACCTACCGCTATTGCTGGCCACGGTCCGGTCCGAGGCGGTGGAGGGCGGCGTGGGGATGATCCTCTCGCCGCCGACCGAGGAGTTGGAGGGCAGGGGGGACGGGATGTTGTAGCGCCGGTGCTCCAGCGGCACCCGCTCGGCGTCCATGAGTTCCCACTGGCGGGCCAAGTGGCGCACGCAGCGCGAGCAGGAGAGCACCCTCCCGCCCCGCGGCCCCGCGGCGCCCGGCCCCGCCCCCGCTCCGCACACGGCCAGGCACGGAAAGTGCATGGCGTGCGAGTTCATGTACTCGGCGCTCGTCGACAGCCACTCCATGGACTGCTGCGGGAACAGCCCCGCGCACACGTAGCACCTGTACAGGCCCAGCCCGTTCTCTCCGCTGACCGAGTGCGAGTGAGGGCTGGCCGCCAGCGCGCTGGACGGCCGCTTCGTGGCCCCGCCCGAGCTCTTCATCTCGTACGGCTTAAACCTGCAATCGCCATTGGCATATGTCAAATTCCGTGCCTTTCACGCCATCACTCCTATTCAATCCTTTTTGAAGGGAAACTTCTTTAGGCGCATGAGGGTAAATTTTTACGAAAACGTCACGAAGATGTGCAGCGTTTTTGCCGTAGAAAGGAGAGAGAGCGATTGAGACCGATTGAGAGAGTGAGAAGGGAGATTTATTTACCTTATAGAAATTAAAATTCCGTAAAGAGAATTTAAGAAATATTAGTATTTTATATTTTATACAAAATAATTTATTAAAATCTCAAATGACGCATTGTAAATTAAAATGCCACGTGTTTTTATAATCGAAAAATAAATTTAAAAAATTAAATTTATAATTTGTATTAATTTTCGACACTTTTAATATTTTAATGACGAGTAAATATGAACAAAATTTAAAAATTAGTTTGCCAAAGAAGTTTCACTTCTGACATGTGTACTTTGTACGAACGCACTTTTTTAAATTAATTTTGACATCAGGTCTTATCGGTGAGTGCAAAAAGAAAGAAATACCTAATATTATTGTTCGTGTGCGCATTGTTGAGGTTGACATCTCCGTTTTCGCTGAAGGCGGGATGCTTGTGCGGGATGCTCTTGTTGCACGACGCGCAGATCTGCACCATTCCTGGAGAAATGCGATATTATATGAGTAACTCATATTACATTCACCTATCTATCTCTGTATATCTATGCTCACCCTGTGGACTAATAGGGCTCGCGTCGGGGTGGGGTTTGAGGTTATATATAAAAGGGTAGTAGGGTTCTCTCTCCGGGTTGGGACAGCAGTACACCAGCCGAAGCTGCGAACTGGGCGCCGAGACACCGCACACGTAGCACACGAACGTGGCCGTGGTCTGACTGGGCGGCCGCTCCAGGGAAGGGGAATGCGCGTGCGCGGCCGACTTGTCCCCGCTCGAGGCGAGGCTCAGCGGCGAAGGTGGAAGTAAGAAGGCGGCCGCGTCCGCAGAGTGTATACGCGTTCGTGGGGAGGTACGCCTCGCATCTGAAAACACAAAAGAATAATTTACTTACTGTCACACGCGGAGATACACTATTTAAGAATCTTCCTTTGGTAATTGAGGAACTTAATAGAGAACGTCATCAAAATTGAATATCAATCGCGCTTCTATATAATTTACATTTATGGCGTTGCCCAAAAAAGGTGTGTTAATTAGTAATTTGGTCATTTGGATAACAATCGTAAATCATTATCATAACGGCCGTCCAAATATGATAAATATCAGTAGATATTGTTTAATCTTCCAGACTTGTGATAACTATTGCGACTTTAGCACTCACTTACTTTTATCGTATCAAAAACCTAATGTTCCAATGTTAATCTTAAATTATTCCTTACATAGTGATATGCTATTAAATTATAAGCTTAAATTATATCTTTTGGGGTCGCCGAACTTATTATTATAATTATCAAAATTCTTAGCCATCTTTTACCGTGAGTTATTAAACTAAATATAAAAACAAAAATGGTTGCCTGTCAAGTCGGTTTACGGACGATAGAAATGATTGCATACATTTATGAATAAAATTGAAGTATTTTTTTTATTATCACTATTTTGTATGGTTACAAAATTAAATCCTAGGACGCATAGGCCAGTCGAGTGGAAGAGAGTTAGATGCGGCTCAGTATCGTAGCGTAACGGGACAATGAGTCATACTCTTCCGTGTGTGCAGCCGGCGTTAGATTAGACGTTGTCACGTCAATAATTACCAAGTACTTTTGTGCACTAAACTATGAAGAAACTGAATTACTAGTACAAGAATAATGTAATCATTTATAATTTTCACAATGCACTTACACTCTTTTACACTTTCCCACCTCCCATCCCATCCACCCCTTCTCAAACATTATCACAGACATTCACTACTGTACAAACGTTTCAACCATGTAAACCTGTATCTTTATTTATATAGTATTTTGGTAACGATTGTTAAGTTACAATTTCACTCCCTAGACTTAGTTCAGGGACTCCAATACCTGCTAAAACAATGTAACTTAATATTATCATTATCGAAAATAATAGCTCATTGTAACTTTTAGCGTATACTTAGCAGATAGTAAGTACATTCCATTTAAGACAACAGAAACATTGTAACGTTATTGCCCATATTCGTAATTGCTCTAATAATGTTAATATCAAGAGTTAACTCGTGATGGATGTAGTGGACATGACACCGTTGTTCGCAGGTTATCACACGATGTCAAGCTCTGCGATAACCGCTTTATACGCTTTGATAAAAATAAGTTCAATTATTGACACGGCCGACCCTGTCGATATGATCACGTCTATATACGAGCAAGAATTGTGGCTCGAATACAGTGCCTTGTACGACACTCATTATCTTATCGGTGTACATTAGACTGGGACATCCGATTTTAATACTGTAATCACAATATCGTACTTTAACTCTAAAAAAAAACGACAAAAAAGTTCAAGATATAATATATATTTATTATATACTATTTATGTAACATTAGAATGTTGTATGATTACTTAAAGTTATCAGCGCACGTAATGATCTTCAACCATGTGCTCGGGCGACCCCAGCGGTGGGCTATCACGGGTCAAGTCGCTGTGGACAGACATCTACTGTCATTGCAAGTAAACATACTTTATTATGTATGCTTTGAATTAATTAAGAACTGTATTCTAAATATAATAAGTAATGTATAAGATTACATTGTTCCTATTATTGCCTTTAGGTGACGCGTTCCTTCGCTGTCGAACCAAGTTTAACGGTCGTATGGTAATAGTATCTTATTGACTTTGCATAGTTGGATATTTATTCTGTAATATTGGGACCTTTTTTTAGATGTCATCTATATAACTCAGTACTTTACTAAAAATACACGAACACCTAACTATTTAATTTACATAATAATAATAATTGAAAACTAAACAAACATCGCCACTTCCTCTCTGTATTGCGATACTTATTAGTAAGGAACGAGGCGCCAACTTAAATCTTTAATAAGCGCCTGTGCACTTAACACCCCACGGCCCAAGAGTCTCTACTCCAAAGGAACCAAATCAAAATTGGAGAAAAGCGATATTAAACGTAATATGTTCCGCCTGATCTACGGACGCGCCATCCCATCTGGCCGCTTGCCATTTTTCCTAGCGATAGCTGCGGTGCTCTAAAATGGGTAGAATATTGACGGAGGCAAAAGAGCGGCTTGGCGAGAAAAACGACCTGCACTCTTTTGGCAATGGAGGCCATGGTGTCCAAGGCTACTCACTTCAAAGCCACAGGGACATTATGAGCAAGACTAATTAATTAAATTTTAAACGCAATTAATCTACTTTAACATATTAAATGTTATCTGTCAATTTAATGTTGCCACCAGTGACCACGACCGCTGAAAACCACTTGAAACGTCAAAGAATTGATTATCTACACAACGACAATAATGAAACAAATTCGGATGAAGAAATATAGTATCGTTCTCTATATGTATATTATTTTATCATATTATGGTAAAATTTATTAAACTAGATGCAAAATATAAACTAAGATTTACTCGCAAGTATGAGTCGCCAGCGAGTTTTATAGGCATATTAAAAATATAACCCGGAGATTATGACATTCATTTTACAATCAGTCATTATTAGCACATTTGGTATCGCTTGTGTAAATAACGATGGATCCGGCAAGAACCGGATACCTTACGATACGCTTAACTAAGAATTAAAAAAAAAAACAAATGTGTATGCATCATTACGTTATCGTGATAAAAAAAATAGGTTTTAGTGATATGTTATCAATAAAGTAATTAAGAAAATAATTTGAATGATCATTATCACGTAAAAATATATAGTCCAAATATGAGTCCTTGAGTAGGTACCTTGGATTCTGCCACTAACATTGACCCTTTTTCGCACTCCTCTTCTGCTTCATTTAAGAATAAGTTAAAACACGTCACACACGTTGTTTGTCGTTCTCCTAATTTATAAATTTTGTGCTGTCATGTTTTGTCTTGTTTTACTTTGTATTGTATTTTTTATCAGTGAAACTTTTTGTGGATATGTCCAATGTGTTTATTTTATGTAAACTTTTATTTTATTTTTACTGTATAGAGATGTATCTGTTTAGTTTCCTTAATAAATAAATGAGTCATCAATGTAACTTTTTTTTAATGTTACAGGAGGCTCATCTGATATTAAGTGATACCGCCGCCCATGGACACTCGCACTGCCAGAAGGCTCGAATAATAGTAGTAATAGGCTGGAATTGGCTTTTCTTGAAGGGCTCTAAGTCGAATTGGTTCGGATATACTTCAGTGGGCAGCTGGCTGTGCGCGGCAGAAATTGCCTTAAGTAACGTTCAGTTGTGGAACGACGCGATGGACGTCAAGGTGATACGGATGGTATTTTGTATTCTGCCTTGACGTCCGATGATGAAACTCAGCTGCAGGTATTAGTACTTACAACTGTTTTTCAATTTAAACATTCCGTCTAAAAAATAAGTTAAAAATATAAATGTCAAAATGGGGTTTAGTCGGTGAAGATATCAATTTCATATAATAATAATCAAAATAATTTAACCAATCAGTCAGATAAGGCAGACAGATATCTATCTATTAGACTGATTCCCGTTTACTTTTCGTTTGATGGTATCAATAACGAAATCCATTGATAACATTTTTTGAATATTCTATTAAACGGTTGGATTTTATTGTCAAAGTTTCATAAGATAAAAGTGGATAGCTAAAGCTTGCTTTAGTTGAGAAGAGTACTAATTCGTAGTAATTAACACACAATTTGTTCAATTATTAGCCAACGCTGACACAAGGACCAAAATCAATAATAAAAGTGCAAACGACATCAGCCCGCAAGAACTTCTTGAAGGAACCACATCGACTGTGACATGAACTTTATGTCCACAAAAATCACTCGATGTCTAGGTGCCACATGTACTTAAGGAATTAGTGTCATTAATACTATTTGATTTCAATTTTAACGTTCCACCTCATTATTCAACCATTATTGCGTATTATTTACATTTCTCGATCTGGCACGAATAACATTTGTGTAAATATTAAACATATACCAAAAAATATATATTCTTGGAACTGTTAACTAAACAACTGACGTGGCAGAATCTTTCTTTGTCACACGGTCGTGTTTCGAGCAAATATAAAAATTAACCAATGAAATTTTTTAATAATGGCTAAAGGATTTACCAATCGACGCGTGGCATGCTTTCACCAGCTGCTGATACGCCTAATTCACGATTATCACTCAAATTAATTTCAAAGATAAAAATTGCGAATGATAGTTTAGTTGACCTGACCACAAAGCCCATTTATTTTTATGAAATAATTTTACTCGAGCAAAGGTCACGATAAGTTGACATGCGCTGATAACACGATCCAGTGTTTAGCAGTTCCGAATCCCTACAATCTTATTGCCACCTTTACTTAAACACAGTAAAAATATTGGACCGATATTATGATAGATAGAAGAGAATTAATCAAATAATTAAGATTAACTTTGTGTTAAAAAGAAAAATATCAATACTAAGCCATGTGGGGTTCTAAAAGCATGTTGGCGGTAATAGCTGGAAGGCTGGATTGCCCTTACATGGGGCATTGCAATGGACTGCATGTGCCCTTTTAATTATATGATTTAATATACTTTAAATTTTAATATTTTTTTCTAAATTTTATTAGAAGGTTAGCTTACCTTCTAATAAAATTTAGGACAACATTGTAACTAACAAAATAATAATATCCACGGTCGTTTACGCGATTTACTCGTTAAAACAAACAGTAATTTTCTTAGTAAAGGCAGTAGGACAACTCACAATGTGCTACTGAAAAGCATAGACTAGTCATTGAATAAACATTACATTCACCTAAACAAACACGCCAAGGCAGAATTTCGTAGTCATCTTGAAATTACTACCGTTCATAGCCTAAATATCAAAAAACAAGCAAATCCTTAATGTTGAGATAATATTAAGATTGGGAATATGTTTCATTTTTCACCTCGGTCATGAAATTGTCACTCTACTATAAAAAGGGGTTTAATATGGAAGAGATACCATATTGAAAACCAAAATTTTTACTCAAAAGTCAAAATCTTTTATTCATATAGGTAACACAATGTACACAATGAACGTCAAAAAAAATGAAATGCTTCTAATTTTACATTTACTGCCAGTTTTAAAATCAAGGGCTTTGAACGGCAGACAAGAACTGGCAAAAAACTATATTTACAATTTAGCTTAGCCTTTCAATTAAGCACAAGATTCGAACTTTTATCAAACACCATACCTCGATATTTCTAAAATTTCGTTTCATGCCATTTCAATAGATTACAACGTTATAATAACCACAATAATTGTTAATTTCAATTTCTTACTGCATTTTTTTTTTCATTTTTGTCTTGAACGCTATATAATCGAATAGCCTAGCCTATCTAAGAGTGGAATGCTAATAAGCCTGGCTAATTATCAGAAATCAGCGTAAGCTGTACAGTTCCTAAAATGGTATAATAAAAATCAATACGAATATCTGGTGAGGTCCAATCCTTCGATGTGTGTTCTCGTTGTTTAAGGCATAATAGATACGACGTAAATAGTTACAGATCACTGTCATCTTAACCCATTTAATTGCTGCGATAACAATGTACGCTACAAACAAATACTTTGATAAATAGTGGAATATTCTTTCGTTTATCGGCTCAACTCTAACATCTAAGTCTTTCAATTATTACGATTCCTTTCAGATAATTCATAACAATTTAAAAGTAAATTTCAATAAAAATTCCCTAATAAAAGATCCTTGTAGAAACAAAGTATTTATATAAAATCTTTACGATTTTCACCAAAACGCAGCAATTCCATACCTTGCCTATTTTCCCCTCCTTCCCGTACATGGGCAAGATCTCAATATCCACTTCGATCCCCATCAATATCCATTTAAACACACACACACCACAAACACTGCACGTTCAACGAACACGTACTTAACTACGTACTCGCGGCGCGGAGCACGCATGCGTGCACGCTCGATCGCGGCGCTGGGAAAGTGTCACCCGCCGTGCACGACTGATAGCGTTTGGAACGGATGGACGTAAGATATTGAGAAATTAATAATGTCTTTGCAAAGTGTAACTCTCATTTATTATATATTTTACTCTTCAATTGCACCATTTTAAAATAGCAAAAGTCCAGTAAAATGAGAATTGTTAGAATGACTACGACCCAAACTTGTCAATCCAATCCACAACTTGAATCAAAAATTCACTCTGCTCGGACCCAGTCGCAAACATATATGGCCTCATAGAAGAACGTGGACTAAGTACGGAACTTGTCACCATGGCTACTAATAAATAAAAATCGTTAATACAACAAAAAAAATTAAGAAAAAGGTTGATATCAACACGTATTATTTAGGTCGAAATTCGTCTTTGGAGAGACAAGTTTAAAAATAACCACTCTTGCTAAACAAAGTAGACGCGACAGGTGTTGGCACGAACAAGTCATAAGTATTAGCACTCCGGCAGTTGCAATATTTATTTAACCACTTTACGCCTATTCATGGAAGCACGGATGTGCAACGTTATAACAAGTTAATGTGGGAATTTATCAGATGTCTCTCTATTTCTTTAGTTCGAACTTGATGTTCTCATAAAGCTTCGAAAATAAAAAAAACAAAGTTTTTTAAACTGTATTTGAAATATTAAAATTTGTAGTTTTTTACTAATCCGACGTGTAAACGTAAAGCGCTTCGTTACGTAACGCGTTACGGCGCCAATCCGTCTAGCTTCCCTTTCTCTCGCATCCGGCAGCGGTAGCCAGGCTCCTGCTCTCTCACTCTAGCCCGCAGCGCTAGCCGTATTTCGGACAGACACTTTCCCCTGTCTCTACGCAGTGTTTAGTGTCCGTTTGACATTTACTGATGAATGAAGCAGAAGCAGAACATTACACAATTAAATAGTTCAACTTAGATTAGTTTAAGTTATAACATACCGCCCACATTTTTTTACTCTTTCAATTAGTAATATTTAGACAATCAATTATTAATTTCACATTTTTTCCGTTAATCACTCTTAAAAAAGGCATTATGCGGTTACCCAGGTGTAATTTAGCGTCATTACGGTGTCGGCTTTAAATATTTTGTTGGTATTTTCGTGATTTGAAAGTTATTTTCTCTCCACACAAAAATAGAACAATAAAAGTTGTGAGCAAATAAGGGGCTATCTCTGACGCATTACTTATGGCAGGTTATCGTCGCCGATCCCGCCCTTGAGGTCGGGCTATCGGCTCCGTCACTTTTATTACTTATATTATGTACTTGCATTAATCGTGTATTGAAATGGCGATTTGAACCGATCGACAATATCATTAGTCCGTGATTTATTCGCATCGAAAGAATTATTAAATTGAAACCCACATAAGCCCCGTGTACTGGCAGATAAAGTATTTTTATGTCTGTTGTTGAATATTTGCTTATTCGAAAAAAATATTAAGAATCTGGATTGTACGTTATATTGATCACATCCATTTATCTTGGGTCACGCTACCTATAGTCGAAAGAAGCCTGTTAAGTATGAGGGTGTGCAATTATTCAATAAATTACCGTCTAAAATTCGTAATATTAGGTCCTTACATATGAAATTGGCGTTTTGTATGGGAGGAACAAAAAGTCAAATATTTTTAAATATAATATATTTAATTAATCAAAGTATGAACCATTGTTTTCTATGCACTTTTGCCATCTCATAGGTAGTTCATTGATCCCTTTACTAAAAAAACCAGTCGGACGGGAATCAATAAAATCTGTGAAGGCGAGTTGGACTGCCCCATCAGTTAAATTTTTTCCCTTGCAAGAAGTTGTCCAAATTTCGAAAAAAAAAAAGGTAATCTGTTGGATCAAGGTCCGGGGAGTACGAAGGATGTCTTAGACATTCCAATTGAAGCTCTTCTAATTTGGTAGCCGTCTGTTGTGCAGTGTGTGGTCTAGCGTTGTCGTGAAGTAGCAGTGGCGTGGAGCGATTGACCAGCCTAGGTTGTTTAGCCGCTAGCTTTTCCATCGTGGTTTGCAATTGCTGACAATAGACATCAGCCGTAATAGTCTGTCCAGATTTGAGAAAACTGCAATGAAAAATACCGGCACTAGTCCACCAAACGCTTACAAGTAACTTTTTTGGGGTTAATTTTCGCTTGGGGCAGGATTTGGCTGGCTGGCCAGGATCCAACCATTGCGCTGAGCGCTTCCGATTATCGTAAAGAATCCATTTTTCATCACAGGTAATGATTCGGTTTAAAATACCTTCATTATTGTGCCGGTTCAGTAATGTAACGCAGCAGTCGACGCGCGTTTGCCGGTTTGCTTCAGTCAATTCGTGAGGTACCCATCTTTCAAGCTTTTTAATCTTCCCAATTTGCTTCAAGTGAATTAAAACAGTTTTATCACTAACACCGCAGCCTGCAGCTAACTCGGACGTGGTTTGCGATGGATCCGCTTCCACAATAGCCTTCAATACTTCATTATCAACTTGGGTCTCAGGCCGTCCACGGGGCTTGTTCTGCAGGTCGAAATTTCCAGAACGAAAACGTTGGAACCAAAAACGAACTGTGTTTTCTTTTTTTCTTTTGCAACATGACCGCCATACACATCATTCACCCTTCGAGTCGTTTCCGCAGCACTAGTGCCACGGCGGAACTCGTACTCGTAAATAATGCGATACTTTAAGTTTTCCATTTTGTAAAATGAGTGACGCAAACAGAAAAAACAGAAGAAAAAAACAAATGAATGACGGTAATCGAAGCACAAATACATGAGTAAATAGCTGTACAAATTTGAATTTGGAATTCCTTACCAAAGAGGAGAACATCGTGATTAAAGTGGCCAGTACGAAATACGTCAATTTCATATGTAAGGACCTAATATTTGCGTGTTTAACCAATTCAAAAGGGCATTAAAGATACATATCGGAATGAGCTTAGGCTGTCTGATGGCGACGTGTATCTCTTTCGTATATATTAAGTTTCTCATGTAAAAAGAAATAAAGTTCTTAAAACATTATAAATGATTAAAAAAATAAAACATTTAATAATTAATATATTGTTGCTACCGAATGTTATCTATGGAAAAGGGGTTACCCGAGAAGGGGTTCCGATCAATAATACTGAAGAAAGTTAGGATACCAATAAAAATGTATATAACAAATCTAAAAAACTAAACTGTATATTCTACATTTGTAAAGATTGGAAACAACCGGGCTCAATTATTAATTATTGAATGACATCTTCTCTGACATTAAAAATATACCGCATACCATACATCACAACCTAAGTGGGAAAGTAATGACTTGCGAGAAAGCAGGCTTTATTAAAACCTCTCGACACCGAACTGCGCAGTGCTGTAATCCGACTGTGACGTGGAAGACAATATTGGAACAAGTTATTTCACACATCTCGTACATTATATTCGCATTTGTTATTTGCCATTCACCACAATGAATAATTGAATATCCTCATGTGAACTAAATATATTTTGACGTTTCGATGTCAGAGCCTCAAAATCAATTTAAATAATGAAATTGTACTAATTCAAAAGTAATATTAAATTGTTAAAGTGTTTTTTGTAGAATAGCGATTGAGTAGTTTTTTTATTTATATCTTTGAAGTTTACCACATCGTCGTCGTAGTAAGTCGTTTGCCTACCTATTGATCAACTGGCTGAACATCTTTCCGGCCGCTAGTTAAACGGCTAGGCTGTTAATTGAACGGCTAATTAATAAATTTGTTGGCTGCGACATATACATACCGAAGTGTAGATCGAGCCGCCAAAACTAAAATTATCGTATTGACACGTAATATATTATCGCTTAGCTAAAATTGTGCAATGCCCGAAACCGTTTTATTAATCAGTTACGATATAGTAATCTGTGACGTACGGAAAATTTTAACGATATTGATATCTATTACTGCAAAAAGATAATTCACCTATAAAAGTTAGTCATTCCAAGACTAACGATCACAGTAAAGGCATTGACAGAGTCCAAATAAGCAATTGTCTGACTAAATACTTTATTTTCTTTAGTTATCATGCGGGTACGCCTAATATCATTTCTTCATAAAAGTGACCAATGCTTGTCGAGTGTCGACATCGGTATTATCAACATGTAGTTTCGTCCAGTCTTCGTTTACGTCACTACGACGTCATCGTCGCTTGAATTTCCATACAATATTTGTAGTTCAAGAGTTCGGTTTAGGGGCCTGAGGGTGAACCTCTCGAATCCGAGCTCGTGAGTTTTAATCGGCTGTGCACTTATGGACTTTCTATGTGTGGAATTAAAAAATCGGCACTTCCTAGTTCTGAGAAGTCGACGTCGTGTTAGGATAAGAAGGCAATGGAAATGGCTCATGGAAGATTAAAAAGCTAAGAAGATTAAGTTTAAGCGCTCTTAAGTTTCTATATACGTTAGTGAATTGAGTTTCATAATATTTATTAAATGAAAAATATACATATTTGTTTGGTCTAAAGCCTCGTGCAAACGTCAACATTATAAAGAATTCACGTCTCGTGACATGTGAAAAAACGGTAGGAAAGTCCGCGTCGTGTGCGTTCGCTTAGCGAGCGGGCGCTAACGGCCACGCCCCCGATTTGGCGATCGGACCCACCTGGTAGGAGTTCCACTGGTGCACGAGGTGGGTGTGGCAGGCGGCGCAGGCGCGGACGGTCCCCGCGGCGTCTTTGGGCCTGGACCGAGGAGGTCGCGGGTGCTGCTCGCCGAAGATGGGGAAATACGCCTGCTTGCTCTGCGGATCACATATCTCTCCTTTATTACAACGAAAGACTTAGAGCGCCCTTAAACCTAAATGTTTATTAGTGTAGACAGACGGATGAGCAGCTTTTGTGATGGGCCAAAACAATTATTGTTACGAACCCGGCATCCGGAATGGGCTTCCTATATCGCTATTGGCTATGGCTTTGACGTAGAAGCGTCAAAATCGATATATGAAATGAAAAACTACGCATTTCTTGAATAATCGTTTTATTAAAGGCATGGGACATAAAAAAGCCGCCAGCGTACCCGAGTGAGAGCCGCGACCTACCATATAACCCATGTGTATTACTATTATGTATGAATGCTTCGAAGTATATTAATTCGTATAAACACGCTTAACATTTACAGAACACGACAATCTTATCTTGTCTTGGCGTTTTATTTTTACGACTCAATGTGTAACGGTAGCGAAGTGCAATAAAGTGTAGTGAAGTGAAGTGCATGCGGCGCGTCACTCACACACTTGTCCTTGGGCGAAGTGGTGTGCAGATTGACGAGTGCCCCTCGGCGGTACTCGTCTCCGCAGACGTAGCAGACCTCCGTCATGCAGTTCTTGTCCGGCATCGACAGGTCCAAGATGTCTCTGTCCGAGCTCGAGTTGGAGTTGCCCGAGTACACGGACACGGTCGACCTGCAACGGTGAGCATTCGTTTAACGAGTTTATGTGCTGATAACGGGTCAGACTTGAAAGACAAGACTTTTTAGTGAACAGGAGGAGGCAAACGGGGAGGAGGCTCATCTGTTGTAATAACTGATACCGCCACGCATGAACACTCTTGCTGCCAGAAGGATGGCAACCGTGTTGCTGGCCTGGCTGGGCACGCTCTTTTATTGACGGACTCTGAGTAGTATTAGTTCGGAAATACTTCAAGGAGTAGCTGGTTCCACATAGCGGTGGTGCTCGGCAAAAACTTCCTTAAATAATGCTCACTTCTGGAACGACGGCCGTGGAAGTGATTCGGGTGGAATTTCGTATTCTGCCTCGACGACCGGCAAACTACATAAACTCAGCTGCAAGTATTAAACCGAACAACTCCTCTGAACTGTCTCTATGGTAAATGCGGTAGAAGTCCAGGGTCTTTTAGTAGTCATGTGAAGCAAGGTACAATGGTTGCAGCGATAGAACAAAGAGTCACACCTGACCGCGTCGAGATAGCCCGCCGGCTCCGAGGTGCCCGAGTGCTGAGATCCCACGGAGATGACGGAGGGGTCCCTCGCCCGCAGGTCCAGCACGCCTTCTTCCTCCACACCCCCTGCGCCGAAGCGCGTCTGCGACGTCTGTTTTTAGATTGAAACAAATACAAACACTACTAGTTTAGGGCCGTATCATCATACGGTCAACGGTGAGGTCGCATGTTATTATATTAAAAGAACTCACCCTCCCGACATTGTTGAACTTGCCGTGCTCCTTTTTGGGCGAGATGGCCCTCGGGGTCTGTTCGTGGAGGGGGCGGGGCGTAGGCGGCGCGGTGGGCGCGCTGGGAGGTGCGTCTACCCCGTCCCGCGCGTTGGTCCCGTCCGCACCCAGGCCCAGCACCTGGGCCGCATACTCGCCTTGGAAGGACATGTCGGCCCCTGAAAGATTGTATTGGTCAAATTAATACATTGAATTTTTAACAATCTATTCAAGGTAAAATACTTGAAACTAACTTATTCTTTAGGATATAAGTATGATTTTGAGTCATACTTAACGCTAAGTCTAGACTCGCTACGGCGACGGGTTTGATAGCGATAACGCAGGTAAATCGCAACGGGTCACGGTCATTCGACGGATCGGTGAAAGTGAACAGCTGATAGTGATACCGCGTAGTCAGTGGCGTGACAGAGTGGGATCTCATTGATCATGCGTGACCTCGAGAAAACGTAACTCAAGCCTCGACAGAGTCACTTTGTGGGCTGTGACACAGCACCGAACTTGGCTACATTATATTTCTTTTCTTAAAAATTTTAAACAATTTAAAAATATAGGTTTCAAGATTTAAGTTTTTGAAGTTATACGTCTTTTGACGCGTTAGGGAAAATGATGAGAGTAAATTTTTACGATGCGCGCGCCCACCGTCAAAAAACACCCTGAAGTTAGCATAATCAACATTATAAAATAAAAAATGTCAATTTTTTAAAATTATTATATTAATAAAATAAGTGTCGTTTTTCTACAAACGTGTAGAATAAGGCGAAACATAAAAATTTTAAAAAGATTTTTATCTTGTTACGCTAGAGAAATAAAACTTCTAACGCTTGTACTGTGCACACACATGTTTTTTTAATGGCAATAGTTTACTTTATGCAGATTTAAGTTTGCTGTTAGAATCAAAATTCCAGTTGAAACCATTTGTAATACAACCGACGATTAATCATGAAAGACATGAGCAAAATAAACAGTAAATTTAATAGAATCGAAAAATAATATCTTTTAAAAAACGAATGTATATATTTTACACAATTGTACGGAAGCGATTTGCTGATGCGATTTCATAGAACAGTTGTCAAAACAAACACTTTGGATGATCGTAATGAGCATTACTCACGGTGAGACCAGACGATGAACTGACTTCAACCAGTATGCGCCGGAGCATCTGCTGTTTGAGTGCCTGTTCACCTACATCAGAACTTTTGCTTCTCGATTAGTAGCAAATTACAAAATGACTATGATAAATACAATTGGATGTCATCTTCGAGACTTTAAAGCGTGCAAAAAATTTAACAACATCCACGAAAGCTCAACAGCTGTACTGATTAATAAGCCGAATTACAATCTAAGTTATTGTTTCCCAACGTGGGGCCCACGTCCCACAGGGGCAATGATCATTAAAAATTTATAAAAATCATTTGGAATTTTTAGTAGTTCATTACATGTTTTGAAAATTTACTTGTGTTTTTCGTTAGCAATTTCCTAGTCATTTCTTACTAAAATCTATCATTTAAGATTCATAATTGAACAATTCAATTTTTAATATCAAAAATGTTGTATGTTAGATATTGATAGACAACAATTTTAGAAAGACTAAGGTGGGGCTCAAAAAGGAACACTTCTTTAATGTCATTATTATTATTAGGTACAAAAACATGATTATCACAAAGGCACAAGGCAATTAAGTATTTGATATCAGTATTATATATTATTTTAAATATTCAACTATTTTCCTGAGCATGGTTGCAGATCATATTTAAAACTAACTTCGTTTGGCCTTAATGTCATGTTTTACGTAGCCTACTTTTATAGTAGCTTTATATCGTTCACTTTTCCGGAATAAAAACCTAAATATACTATAACGAAATGTTTATATTGTTTTCAATTTCTCTCCAAAAAAACTTTCCTCAAAGTTCAAGGTATAAAAATACTTCGAATTTGTCCAGCCATCTTCGAGTTTTGTGCTTAGCAACATATTTTGCGATTCAGCAAATAATAACGGCGTTACAGCAAAAAAGTTATAAAGTACGGAACTAAAATCGTACATTACTTACTATATATTCAAAAATCATTTATTCATATAGGTAACAAAATGTACACGTATGAACGTCAATAAATAAATATATATGAAATGCTTCTCATTTTACATTTACTGCCAGTTCTCAAATCAAGGGCTTAGAACGGAAGAGAAGAACTGGCAATCTCTACGCCACTCTTTTAACACTATTATATTATATCATATCAAATATCTAACTCACTATTATGAAATGTATATGTTGTGTGTACTATATATAGCACTCGTAGTAACAAATAAATTTTCATGTACTGCTTCAGTAGTTAATATTTTTGTTTAATAATCGTAATTTACGAAAAACGCAGGTTGTGTAACTGTACTGTTATATAAACAAAAGCTCGCATCGATCGTCCGTTCGCAACCCACCTTGTTTATTCAAACAAATCTGGACAAGAAAGAAAACCAACACGATACAAAAAGTTCCGTATCGTGCTTGTAATGGAAAACATTTTATTTTGCGTTATTATCATATTATAGAATACGAAATAAATGCTGTCTCCGACTGTGTAATTACTTTTATAATTTTACATATATTTTCTTTTTTCTTTTGATCGACACTTAAAGAGAGAGAGAGCAGTATTGGCCTGGTGGCTTCAGCGTGCGAATTTCATGCCTAAGGTCGTAGGTTAGATTCTCTCGGATCGCACCAATGGACGTTCTGTTAGTTCAACATTCGCTCGACGGCAAAACATCGTAAGGAAACTGACTTGCCTTAGACCTAAATAGTCGATATGAGTCAGGCACTGGAGGCTGATCACCTACTTGCCTAATAGATTGACAAATGATCAAGAGGCCCAGACATAACAAGGTTGGAGCGCCACTGGTTTTATATACATACTGGCGGTCGGATACTTACGTAATAATATATTCGAGCAATTTCTGTGTATTTATAGATCACTCTATCGTGGTGTCCTTTTATACATTAAGATTATTCAAGGTCAAATTTATGAATATCATAGTCATATCTAAGCGATGCTCTTTCTATATCATTCTGATAAAACTCTTTCAATATTTAACTCAACCAATCAGTAAAATACACTTTTTAGTTGGAATTACGCAACTCTAAATATGAAATAACAAATAATTCAGTGCGTGGCGATCCCTTTCAACCGTTTCGCATTGATCGAATCCTGTTTACAGATTCTTCTGTACACGATAAACACGACACGTTACATTGAACATTTCAATAGAATACGAAATTAGAAAGCAGACAAATAACCGTAAAGCTATCTTCTGTCGAAAAATGGATATTTATAAATTTTTCATTGGGGAACATGGCAAGAGGAACAGAAGTACTAAACTAGCAAACGAAAAAGAGGAAGACAACTTAGAAAGTGGATAGACCAAATTAAAGAAACAGCAAGTGGTACACGGGAGAGAGTGGCACAGCGCAGAGAGGAATGGCGGGATTTGGAGGCCATTGCCAACAAAGGGCACAATGTGTTTAAGTGTAAAAGTATCTGAAATAAAAGCATATTATTATTAGGTATAGTTACTAGCGTTAAAGATATCTTCAAGTTTATCATAATTATCATTGAAAACTTGTCAATATCAAGGTCCAACACAAAATCGGTTACGATTTAGACAAATTATGGATTTTTTAAAATTTATTATAAAAACACTCTTGACCTAACAGGCGAACCTAAATTGACAAAAGTGAACAATAGGTTAATAAAATTTACAGACGAAGCAAAAAAAACAAACATACGAAATTAATTAGGAAAAGCAAAATTACATAATAAAAAAATACAAGAAATTAACTAACAACAACAACAACAACAATGAATAAGGTCCGTTAACCTATGTAATTCGTTAATTAAATTAATACACCGAATCATGTGTGCCCTTTTCAGAAGGTTAGTCCTAGCTCTGGGCACATGAAGTAAGCATCAGCCTACACACAACTCGATAAGGCAAATGATCCGCATTGTAGTCGTAATTATCGGCGCGCAGTTTTTCCTTCGATACATTATTCATGGTGGGTCGTTATCCCGGGCACGTACCAGCAGCGAACCGGAATGTTGATTAACCACTGTCACCACACAGCAGACGATACGCTTGATAGCTTTAAATTATCACACAGCAACGAACAAATTAAGAGTAATAATTATTGACTATAACTACCCACTGTCTACGACCATTGTAATTTAAAAACAACAAATAATGAGCCCCTACTGTTTGATTGTCACATTTCCAAAATGACTAACGGTCACAGACAGAAAAGAGCAAAAAATTCTTAAAAAAGATAAAACGTAATGTATTTACGATATGTGAAAACGTGTGAAATAGCGAGGCAGAATAAGAGATAAAAATATCAATTTGAAGCTAGGGCGGTGGCGTCGAAATATCGAGCTCTATCTTACAAATTTAACACGAATTTATGTTTTTTTATTAAAGTATAAGAAAAACATTAGGGCCTGCAAATCTGTATAATATATATAGAAATGTTATGTCGGTTTGTGTACGCTTCAAAAACTCAAAGTTCTGCAACGATCGAGCTGAAATTTTAGCATGATATATAATCAGCATCATGTTTTTTTTATCTATTTTTTTCCATAAGTATTGCAAAATTAAACTAATATGAAATGTATTCTTTGTTTTGTTTCTCATTTCTCAACCATTCAATCACAACGTGCCACAGCGAAGCGTAGCAGTGAACAGCTAGTAGTTTTATAATTTGAATGAACAACGCATTCAGTAGAAATTTACTATAGAAAATAAACGTAAAAATGTCTCATATAACGTGTTGTATAAAATATAGCAAAAATGATATGGCAAGTGGTGAATGTAATAACATAGACAACAGTGCTTTTGACACATAAAGTCAAAATATCTTTTCAACATTAGCTACCAACACAAGGATTTTAATAAGGCTGTTTATTGCATTAAGCATCGGGATATACAGAGTCAAATCTTTCTTTCGCTATAACGAAAATCTCTCTATAACGTAAAAAAAATTGTTTGGTTTAATACAAACCCCATGCATTCATTCACTCTTTATAACGCAACAGCCAGTCTCTTACGAAGAAATATTTTCATATTTAGACATCAACAACATATTGAAGTGTAATTGTTACTATAATCAGATAACAAAACTAACCTATTGAGGTGCCGAAATTTCTAAGAAAGCCACCTTAGGTCATAAACAGCCGTTTTCGCCTTTGTTATTGTTAATGGCATAATTATTCTTAGATTACATTACCTGTAGAAAATTTTGGTCTCAGTTACTAAACAACGCACCATTGTCACCTATCTACTTGTTAAATTTGGTGTATTTATCTTTTCTCCCTATAACGAAAATTCTCTATGACGAAGAAAATGCTCGGTCCCTTGAAATGCATTATAAAGAGTAATTATTCATTGTTAATAAAATTTCGTCCGGAGTCTCTTAACATGCACGGATTGGTACCGCATTGTACAAGAGCGGTCCATCCCTAGTGGGAGGGTTGACGTGGTGGTCCGTAGGGACGGTGCGATACGAACACTCGTTTAGATATTGAAATTCGTCTAAAAACGATCAATATTGTGAGCATATTACAAAATACAGATGTATAGTATCCGCTATCTGCATGTTTTACACCGAATAATGGCACTTTTTATTTTATAATTATCATTTATCTTAATACCAAAACGGATTATAGGATTATCATAATTTATTGAAAGGATTACATTACATAATTTTTACTAGAAAAGGTATTTACTAATATAATAATAAAGTGCAAAAGAAACTTATCACCTCAATCTAATCTAAGGTTTTGTATATTAGGAAGTGAGTCCTACATAACGCTGGGCTTATTTGTGGTGTGATTGAGACGGAAAAATATATATTTTGAGACCATTGTTATCTGACTTCAAACAAAATGTGAGATTGTTTGTTGTACTTTAACATCTTTTTCGTTGAATTTTTGTTTGTTCATTCCTGTTAAATATAAGTAGTTTTCTTCAGTAGGTACGCGAGTAGGTATGTGCCTCATAAACAGCAATGTTAATATAGGCGATTGATCAAATAGGATACATAATTCATCTTCGATAAAAAGCTGATCGTTTTTGTGTGAGAGACAAAAAAGTGGACATCGATTCATAAATATGCAGATGTTGCACCCGTAAGAAATTTCTTTTGCCCGCAGCTAAGTGCGACTAAAAATAAAACTGCTACTACACTCACGCCATACGGAGTGCACTTAAATTATAAAACGAACATCAGATTCGCTCGAAAAAAGCAAACTCGAGTCTCAATGACCGAAAACCTTAAAATTCCGTGTAAAATAGTTTTATATGAAAAAATTTGCTAAGGAAAAATTGTCTAAAACATTTTCCAACGAGATCCGTTTCCCGTGACCTATTTCAGCGACTTTCCTTAGTTTTTCACTCTTGCTGGAGTCCGCGCTTTCAAATAAAATTCCGGGCGAATTTGCGAATAATTCCTCGGAGAGTTTTTAAAAATGAAGGTGCTACATTATGACATGGCCTTTTAATTAGGAAATGTCGTAGCTCTCGCTACTCGTGTCTAAAGAGCATGATTTGCGAGTTTTTTAAGCCGTCGAATAATTCTTTCACGTCTTCTAGGTAGCAGCGTTTCGTTACGTCCGGAAATTCTTTACATACGTTATCAGATACCTTATCACAGCGAAAGACAATTAAAATGTTGTTTAGTAAACCTTAATTATATTGAGACTCATATTTTAGTAATTGCTACGGTTCTCACAAAGTACCTTTATTTAATAACAATAATAATAACAATTGAAAATGTTATAAATATATAAACTTTCGTTCGTAGGACACAGCTGTGGAGCTTGACCTGTTTATCATTAAATTATTCAACAAATCAAATTATGCACATTTTATTACGCGTCCATTCAAATCTAAATGTGAAGCATGTTATATCTTTCGTCGCTCGTTATCTATTTCGTGTATTATATTAGTAGTATAAATTACAAAGTATTTTCCTTTTGACCTGCATTTTTACGGAGTCTTTATTGTATTAGAAACATCTTCATCTAAGCCTGAACGGTAATGTCAATCTAATAATGATAACCTTTAATATTGTCTATATTTGATTTATTCTACACGCGGTGATAAGGAATATACATACACTTTGCCATAGCCGAGTTCACATGTATCGGAAAATTTCTCAAACCGCACTTGGGCAAAGGAGATTTTCCTTTGGAAAAATGTACGGAATATTTCACGCAATAACTGAAATTTTATCATGGAAAAATGTGAGGAACTCTTAAAATAATCGTAGGTATTTATTTTTGTTCGACATTTACACACTTTTTTGTTACTTTCGACGTCAACGTGGATGTACGATGATTAACCACCGGATACGTCCTATCCAAAACAATGTAAGATTTAATTGCACCCATCAATATTCTGCTACGAAAAGACTAGCTTAACTTTTTTGTTTATATGGAACAGGGGGTAAACAGCAAGGAGGCTCATCTGACGTTAAGCGATACCGTCGCCCATGGACACTCAATGCCAGAGGGCTCGTGAGTGCTTTGCCGGCCTTTTAAGATTTGGCTCTTTTCTTCAACGTTGGTTCGGAAATACTTTAGTAAATTATCGATATTTTCTGTTGACGTTCATAAGTGTAAGTACTTGGTTACCTATGTGAATAAAGTTATTTTGAGTTTTAATTTATGAGTTGATGCAATGTTAATGTAGTACCGGTCCATGTTTGGTGTTTTATTTTAATGTTATTAGAAACAGGTTAATCTTATCACTGTTTTAATTAAACTGGTTGAATCACATTGGTTATTTCGAATGAATTATGTCTCCTTGATCCATCTTTACAAGACTCACCAATAAAGGGCTTCCCGTCCAGCCTCTTCATCCAGTAGAATCGTTGCGTGTGAGGTTTGTTCTCTCTGTCGTACTGCTCCCATTGCGATCTCAAGAAGGTATAGCACACACAACAGCACTTAACGGTGCCCTCCTCGTCGCCGTCGGCGCGGTAGCCGGCCGGCGCCGCATGCGCACCCAGGAACGGAAAGTAGGGCTCGCTGCTCTGTGAATGTGTGTCGATTTAAGATTAAAATTTACTACTTCATTCAAGTTTTTTATCACCACTTGCTAATTTATACAAATAAACATATCTAAGCTTAATAGAACATAGTGCGGACGTTCTTCGCAAACGTACGTGTATGAGAAATAGGAAATTTTCAAAATTATTTTAGACTATAGCCCGCTTACTCACAGAATCGACTCAAGCGTTCCCCGACGGTCGCAAAGTATAATAATTGAAGTTATTATTTTAAACGAAACAATCAGAGCATAATAAGATGTCGCAAAATAAATTGATCAGCAAAACAAATGAATTCGAGGGTCGCGCGATGTCAACCAGACCAAATTGTGCGGGTCACAAGTCAACTGTTTTATGCGTCCCGACGATTGAGAACTAGTCCAAAGCGGTTATATCTGGCTGACACGTCTTTGCATATTCTTGACGAAAGTGCTAATGTGATATCGGCCAAGGATTCATCTTATTAAAACTCTTACGTAGCATTTAATTATTATTAAGAAACGCAGAGTGGTTTAGAATGTATAAGTGCGATGTTCAAATGTAAGTGTAATACAGGCAAAAACACAGGTATCATTTATTCCACGTCATTAAATTTGAATCGTTAGACCTCCCTACTCATCAGCAAAGAAGACAGAGGGTGTGGGCCGAGAGAAAAAGCCGGCGTAAAAATCTCTCGGTACTCCTTTAAAATAGCAAATCATCATACAAAATGACTTTGTCAAACAACACTTATTTTAGAACAAATATCGTATATTAATTAGAAGTAGCCTGTCTAGCACTAGTCCCAGGCCCTTTTATCAACTGGATAATCGATATATGTATAACTAGATAACTTTATAGTAAGCCTTTTTACACAGCTGTTCTTTAATACATTTCTTAAATTTATTAAAAGGCAGAGATAAAAGAGCCTCTGGGATTTTATTAAAGAAGAGTATCCCTTTTCCCAAAAAAGAATTACATACTAACTTTAGATAGTCTAGTACGGGGAAATTGAAGCCTGAGTTTGTTCGAGTATTAAAATTATGCGTATGTTCTATTCTAGTAAACTTATCACTATTTGTGTATACATACAATATTTTCAAAAATATATTGCGAGGGAAAGGTAGTATATTAATTTCCTTGAATTTATCTCTAAGAGATTCCCTATTTTATTTATTGATTGTATTTTAAATTATGTAATACAAAAGATTCATAATATTTATTTTTAAGTTATAATCACCACCATACTCTGATATGATATGACAAAATAAGAGCGTTTAATACATACCTGCGGATCAGGCTTCACCCGTATAGTGAAGTAATCGCTGAAGCCGTTCCCACCGCACACGAAACACACGCGCTCATCTGGAGCGTCGCGTGCAGCGGGCGCGGCGGGCATAGCGGAGGCGGCAGGGGCAGGTGAGACGGGTGACTTCCCAGCACCGGGAGTGGTATTTCCGTTCCCGTTGGTCGTCGGCGGGCTAAGGTTAGGCCCGCCGCTCGTATTCAACGAGCTTTTTATGTAGGCTTTCGCTTTCTCCATACTAGCGAAACTGTAACACAAGGTGGGAACTATTAATTTATCATAAAGGAAAAAAATCAAATCCTAAAATATATTTATCCTATTTTGTTAAAAATGTCTTTGACGTATATATATTGATAAATAATGTATGTATCAAAAAGCAATGTATCAAAGACCTTAAGCTCTACCTACACAATACAAATCCCTAAGCTCCTTCATAAACATTCGCCCTAAGCCCATTATCAATATCTGTCTCGATAGGCAATATCGAACCTTATCTTATCAGCTATAAAGATTATTTTGTCGTTGTGAGCAAAATAGTTAGGGCTTGCCACAACGGACAACATTTCAAAAGTTTTTGGGCACCAACATTACATTTTAATTAGTATTTTAATAAATCAATAAATACGATGTATGCTTTAATTCTGAATAAAAATAATGTTATAACTCATTGAAATCTCAAATGACGAATTGTAAATTAAAATGCCACGTATTTTTACGATCGCAGAAATCACTTTAAAAAATTTGAATTTTTTATTTGTATTAATTTTCAACACTTAATATTTTAATGACAATTAAATTCATCAAATTCCTAACATATCTTCCTTAAGTCTCGGAAATGTGAAGTTTGAGATTTGTATAAATATGAACAAGACTTAAAAATTAGTTTGCCAAAGAAGTTTCACTTCTGACATATACGTACTTTATACGCACGCACTTTTTTATTATATTTTAAATGGGCAGGAGGCTCACCATGTAAAGTGACATGGACACTCAATGCCAGAGGGCTCGCGCTTGGTAAGTTCTTGCTTGAAGGACTCTTAATTCGAATTGGTTCGAAAAGAATAATATATAAATAGTATTTGGCGATTAATTTAATTTCCATCAGTGCAATCCTACAGTTCATAACTACGACATCATACAGTACTTTTACTCCACCTCCATACACAACTCCCCTAAACCCGTCAATTAGTGACGCATGTCTATCCAGAATAGGGTTGGCAGGTGTTTCAAACTTTTGTTGCTAATCGTTGTTCGTGCGTTATTATTTTTTAATCGCCATTTAATAGCGCTGCGTGGCACGAAATGTGTTTAGTTTATATTTATTGTACTCTATGGTCAGACGAAGTACCTACTTACTGCCTTTTGATTTAGAACATTTCGAGAAATATACTTGTAATATATTTTTTTTTAAATCTATTGCGCTTCAACCTCTTTAGGTCTGGCCCTCAGATTTCCGAATCTGTTTCATGATCATTTTTAAATCTAATAGGCAAGCAGGTGATCAGCCTCCAGTGCCTGACACACGCCGTCGACTTTTTGGGTCTAAGACGGACGGTTTCCTCACGATGTTTTCCTTCACCGTTCGAGCGAATGTTAAATGCGCACATAGAAGTCCATTGGTGCACAGCCGGGGCTCGAACCTACGACCTCAGGGATGAGTCGCACGCTGAAGCCACTAGGCCAACACTGCTCATGTAATATATTATGCGATTAAATTACGTCAGTATCAGAAATAATTGATTCTAAATGACAACAGCACAATTTTAATTAATTTAACTCGGTTCAACCCTATAACAACCTGCAAAATAATAAACGATACATACGTTGATGGTCCGTCTGTATTTCGAAATTTAATTTGCGTAGGGTTGTCAACGACGCGTGGGGAGGATACGTGAAAGCCTTATCAGTACCTAACAGTTAACATGGCCTGACCGAACCCCGTCCCTATGTAATTGGGTACAGATCAATCTCCCGAGTAGGTATATATTTTGCGAGGACGTGGATGTGCTGATCACTGCTTTCCGATTTGATTCATTCAAATCCGCATCTACTGGAGATAGCAATTTCATTATCGAAAAATATATTTAGACACACATTTTCATAGAATGGAACATGTAAGACAATACGCCCAGGAAATTCTCTTAATATTAATACTACTTAGTATCCTCAATAGGTGTTATACCTGTCTAGTATCAAAAAGTAAAGAACACCAAAATTCCTTTATTTTTCCTCGTTAATAAATTATTGCGAAATACAAACTATCGCCCTGATGTAATTACAACAATCAATATCTCAAATGATACTAAATTTGTAAAACATCTGCTCAAATCTTATCCGAATTAATTATTAAAATTATGATAATAACGTGTCACAATTTAGAGACGGGGTTTAAGACCCGGGAGCAGGCAGCCGGGGCCAGGGACGTTGTCAAACAAGCCGTTATCAGCCAATCGATATGGATTATCGCGACATCGATCATAAGCGGTGTCGTTGCCCTTCGGAGTCTACTCTCATGGATACTGACACACCTCATTTTTTGCTCATAGTTATTTTTACTAAAACCCGTCCGAGAATTACATAGTTTCACTGATGTAATGTAAATGTAAATATACAATAAATTCCATTTTCCACGTAGTTGTAAAAACAAAGGGTTGTTATTTCATTCCGTGGTTTATAATGAAATAAACGAAATATGAAGCATTGAGAACTATGTAAGCAGTATTATTGTAATTGCAACTAGATATATATGCCTGACTATTTTTAAGGGCGCCGTAATTAAATATTGTATTATCTACAATATTATGTATGTAGGCATAAATTTATACTGTAGTTATAGTGCTCTGTCGTGAGTCGTGATATTTTTATAATAATAATATATTACAAAGATATAAATTCTTGTAGCATTGCTATAATGAAATACACGTAAAGATACTTATGTATAAGGTGTAGTTAAACAATAATAAATAAGCGTTATTTATACTAAACAATTGTTTATTTTAATATAGGTATGTCAGAGCAATGGCGTCACTGTCAGTTGACAGTCATTGTCATTGTGTATAACAGAGCTAATAAATTAACAATGTCAAAGTCAAATAAGTTGAAAACCGTTGATACTAGTTGTTTATTTGATTTTCTAATATAATTGTTTGCATAATATTGCTAGATCTCTATACTATATTAATCACTATTACTATCTACCATTAATTAGTGTTTGATTTATATATCTAGCAATATTGACAAATCAAATAAACCACTAGTGTTTATTGTTCATTTAAAAGCTGACAATAGCAGCTAACAGTAACGGCATTGCTCTGACATATATATATTTAAAAACATACATTATGAAATGAATGAAAATGAAATACAAGTTTAATATGTAATATTTTAAAGCAGATACTAAAAGTATTAATTCACAATTGAAAGGCTGAAACTAAACTCAATTGCCAACAGAGGGAATATAACTAAGTCATTACAGAATTGTTGAACGTTCGCCAGTGTTGCATTGCACCCGCCAAGCGCCTGTTACACCGAGACGATGCACAAAATATAATGAACGCAATCTCATATTTTAAGTACGAGATATTTCTGCGTTATATTCCAGCTATTATATTGATGTTGATGATCGACAAGAATTAACTATCGTTGGCAAGGGTATCATAATCCACCCAATAAAATCGCATTCATGAACTCATTACGCCTCTATGTGGTGCTTGCATATGCAATGGTGCCAAGAGAATTCGATTAGCGTTCGGTATGCGGGTCTCGGTTGCACTGTCGGCACGATCCAAGCCAGTACTGGCCGGATCGCTTATGTAACTTGCCCACTTTGTAGCTCGCTCGTGCGCGCAGTTAAGACATTGGTGATATATTATGTCGCACAATTAAGAGGAATGTCCTTACGTCAGTGTGACTTTCCTTACGTCAGTGTGACTTAATAGGTGATGTAGCGCTCTATATTTGATTAAGTTCTGTGGAAGACCTACTCCTCGCGAGCTTTAATCGGGTCTATTCAGGCCTTTTAAGATATTCATGTAACCCACTTGTTAACGATGTAATAAAATTAACGAACAATTTGTATTAATATTTATTTGAATGGGAAAATCACAAATCGCAAAAGGTACTTCGTTTTATTTAATGATTACTGTACTACCTACAAAGTTGTAAACAGCAACTAGCTAAGCTAATTATGATTTTAATAAGTGTTTTTTTTTTTTTTTCAAAAATACTAGTTATTCATACCTATCTAGGAAGGGCAGAGGACAGGGCATAATGCAAAACTTAATTTAACTTTTACTAAATACATACAATCAAAATATAATTCTTAAATAAATAGAAAATTAAAATATTTTTAATTTAAATTATAATACTTCTCAAATCAAGACCGATAACGATAATAGATTAAAGATAAAGAGAAAAACGAATTTCTAATAATGAAACCAACATTGTTTTGAGTTTTTACAGTAGTGATGACCGTACACACGGTTCCGATAGAGGACCGTTTATTTACGTTTGTCTGTTTACAGTTTGCGTAGTGCGAATATTGACACTCATTACGTGCTATCTAAATCCTCAATTCCACCACAGAAAATTTGTAGTGAGCAATAGTCACAGGAATCTTGGTAAATGTCATGGAGTTCAACTTAAATGCCTGTACCGACTATACGAGACAACAGTTAGTAAAGCACCACGATATGAAAACTAATAAAAAATATCTATTATAAGTTGGAAAGCTTGTGTTGTTGGAAGCTAATCGTAGGAATTTCAGTGGTTCGAATTTCAGAAATGTGTTTGTTCTGGATAGTCTGTTTTCTAAGGAAGATTATAAACATTTCGTAACTACTAAAGTCAGCACCGAGGACAGTTAGTATTTAAATTATATTTATCAGATTTATAAAAAATAAGTAAATAGCAATTACATTAATAAGCCTTCGGGTTACCCCACTGTGTTTGCTACATCATAGCCGAGCACTCACCCCAACCAATACAATTTGTGCCCCTTCGAGTGTGTTTTTATTGCTCTTCAAACTTCCACCGACAGAAATATGAATATTTCCCTAATTTGTGTTGGGTTTAAACAAACTCCCAAGCAAAATCAGAGATTTATCACTTAATGAATTCAAAACTCTCGTTAAACGTAAATTAATAAATAAAGCTTTTTATAAATTTGTCGAATATTTAAATCCTAATCCTTGGGATTGATTTACTCTAGTTCAAACAATTTGTATGAGTCAAAACTT